AATACCGAAGCCTACGTGCCAGATTGATCATCTCTCTATTGATTTTGTGACTCACTCCGGAGGAAAAGTACCTTACCTCTCTGCTTGATTCATTAACTAATCCTCGATAACATGGAACCAATCAAATGGTAAATATACAATGTCCAAAATACTCTTATGATAAATGTAATATATCTGTTATCTATTAATTCCAAACGAAAAGTTCTCTGTCACGAGCTTTGTATATCTAATGCAACTCATCATTGCAGCTATAAACGGTTTAATTGGTTACACTTTTGTTACCTTTTTCTAATGTTTGTGAGACGCATTTTAACCTTATAACACTACGCACAGTGACTGCAATCATTGATGACAACTGATCACTGGAGTATAAACACCGAATATTTCTCATGCAGGCAGCGTGTGGTTAAAGATCATAAAGAACATAAAGATCACATCATCTGATTTTGTACGTTAGTTGGTAAATAGAATCATACCTGAAAACATAAAAATAACCCGCCTTATCCTGCTTTGCCTCTCTTTGACGTCGACCTCTCCAGTATGTCATCTAGGCAGCCAGTCTTTAAGCCAGTCGCAACAGTGAACCTAGTCTGTCTTACAGACCCTGATACAAATATAATTTTAAATCAAATACAGCCCATGCAAGTCTAATGTTTGGCAAGTCTAGATTACTGCAGTACTGAAAATGAAGAGAATCACTGGGCTCCCTTTTTATTATATTTTTATTAAGATAACTGAACAACTGTTTTTTTTCTGTACGATATGTTCATTTCAGAGACTAGATGTTAGTCTACAGTGAACCCTGCTGTAAAGTAAAACGCCTCATTAACACCGTGTCACTGAATAATACCCCCCGATGTATCTTCTTTCTGTTCTACAATCTCCATAACTCTGGCAAGAGAGGTCTCCACGTGCTCAGCTGTCGAATTCTTCTGTGTACACGATTATAAATTAACACCTGGAACTTAATTAAGCGCCACCTATATTTTCATCAATGAGTCTATTTAGCTGAGACCTCGAGCAAAATGCTTCCGGGACAACAGTGCCCCATGATGTTTACTGCTTACTAGAGTCATCAATCATGAAGAAGACAAAGGTTGGCATTGGAACAAAGATAGTTTCTCTGAATTGTTGGCATTTTGAAGAAAAACGTTATCTTCACCAAATTCAAAGCGGAAGTTACTATTGGCGCACAATAATTAAAGAACTGCTTCAAACCAGTCTGTATCAACGGAATCTTAAAGCAATGTCAGTATATGCAAGAAACGGTTTTCATCAATACTTCGTGTAACCATCCTTCAAATGAAAGACTAACCGCCAGACGCCTCCTCATTCTATAAATCAGTCGTTGCACTTGACGTTGAGGTAGCTTAGCCCATTCCGCATGCAAAACAGCAACAAGGTCACGTAGATTTTCGACAGGTGGGTCTCTCTGTCGAATTTGACGGACTACAATGTGTCTCGATGTCATGTTGGCACAAGCATTCCAGAACAGCACCTGATCTGTGCGTCTACCATCATCAGAACACAGGTCTAGTCACCAACTATGCTCGTCAAAATGGGGAATAACTGCCGTCTCCAAGATGTCATGCTGAAATCGAGGCCCGTTTAGATTACCCTGCACAGTGAACAAATTGAATGAAATGCATCCCCCAAACCATTAACAGATATAGAGTAACATATAGGCAGCTTAGATTAAGATATAGGAGTTGAAGTCACGTGACAAAATCCCTCTCAAATTAATGAAAGATGGATGGTCGTCATCCAATGGTGAAAACAAGTTTGAGTAAGACAAATTTGTACCACAGGTGCCAAGAGCATGTTCGTGTTTGTCAGTGGACGAGGTTCATGAGAAAAAACAACAAAGATGTGAAGACAAGGAGGAGCAACTGGGCTTCTGGACAATGATAGCGCCCTACTGTAATGGATGGTTGCTGGCCCTGAAATGTCTAGGCTTTTGCACGAATTTGATGATAACTCGTTTGCCTTTTGAAAGATGAGAAAGAGTCATCATAAAAATTCCAGAACCTTTGCAGATTGCTTCTACAAATGTCTTACTGGTGCTTTTGGAAATGAAGGAATTCCATTTGATTGGTTGGTTGGTTTGTTGTTTTACGCCGCATTCAGCAATATTCAAGTTATATGACTGCGGTCTGTGAATAAACGAGTCTGGACCAGACAATCTAGTGATTGATATCATGAGCATCGATCTACGCAATTGGGATACGATGACATGCATCAACCAAGTCAGCGAGACTGACCACCCGATCCCGTTAGTCGCCTCTTACGACAAGCATAGTCGCGTTTTACGTCAGGAATGGGTTGCTGAAGACCTATTCTACCCCGGATCTTCACGGGTCGAAATCCATTTGATGGAGGAACTGTACTTCCCTGTTCAACTGATGTATAATGGATGACAGGACAGAACACGTTCTGAAGCACACTTTATTGTACTAATCACATTGTGTAAAGCGATTAGGGCTTCAGAAGCCTGATGCGATTGGATGAGACTGTTTAAAGTGATTGGAGGAGAGTTGGTTGAAGTTCACTGTAAGCCAAGTGCTACGTGATAACATTCTAGGGAACCACAAAAGGGCAGCTGATCAACTGACTCAAGCAGAACGCATGGTTAAGCGAAGTCGAGTTGAACATGTTACTGGCATTCTCAGCGATGTTCCCATCTCTTCAGTAGACTGCGGTAAAAAGCTTTAAGGATCCTTGAAACATCATGGATGTACATAACTTCAGCAACCCACGCTTGCCGTTAGAGAACCAACGGGATCGGGCGGTCAGGCTCACTGATTGGTTGATGCATGTCATCGTATCTATATATATCGATGCTCATGGTATCAATCACTGGATTGTCTGGTCCAGACTCGATTATTTACAGACCGACGTCATATTCCTGGACTACTGCTGCATGGGTGCGGCGTTAAACAAACAAGCTCAACTATATACATGTAGATAAATCGGTCCCACACACTGTCCTCAACAAAGAAGTATGATCTCATAGTGTTTTAACAAGGAAGTCCATCTGAGTTTGTTTTCGGTTTCGAAACCCTGAACGACCCTGGTGGCGCTGTGTTGACCAAGGTATAACCAAAGTTATATTGACCCATTTACGTCACACTTGGTTGACCTAAGTTGCCTGTGCCAAATGAACCTCTTGGTTAGTATCCCCCAAGTGACATGTTAAAAAGCATTAGTTTCATTTATTGATTCAACCATTTTAATGAATTGTATTAACTAGATATTGGAAGTTTATATGTTTTCTCATATGCGTCAGGGAAAATGTAAATTCCGATTGTTGATATAGATACTTGAGAATCAATGATGTAACTTGCATGATGATGTTGCATCTCAGTCTGGCGTTCTCCGCGTTGTGTGTTGTTTACATGCGTTAAATAGAAAAGGTGCAATGGCAACTTTGTTAAGCAATGAAACACATGTTTTGTTAACCTCTGGCAGTTGGGTGTTACAGCAAGATTGTTGAGTTTCTCCTTCTCCTTCACTCAAAATGTCCCTCTCTATTCGCAGCCTTAGGAAAATAAATCTATACTAATGGTTTACTGCATGGTACACTATACCAAAAAGGGGAAATAGACTACGTGTATATGGTGTGTCTATATATGATAAAGTACAATGAAAAACGAAGCATGATTTATTTCATTGTTCTATCATGCCGTCATTTCTGGAGATTCGAACATGCGCTCGCAACTTTGACAACGTTATTTTTGAGAGTATCTTGTGAGTTGTTCCGCGATGTAGCTGGGCAACGTAGATAAACGCAATCGCCGGACGACCGCATCCAAAAGTGGTACAGATAATCGACGTGCAAATTGTGAGAATATGCGGGAAAGACATTATTTAGAACAGTCTGAAGTCCAATCTACCCATCTTATTGAACCAATGATATTTTTCTTTTTGAGATAGCGTTTGAACTTTAAACACACACGAACGCACGTACGCACACACACACACTCTCAACTCACACAGCGTGCATGTGACAATTATGACTGTGTTTGTTGCCATAGACATGTCAACGCATCTTCAACTCAGTGGTGTTTTGGCTTGTGGCTGTCGAAAGAGTTTATATTTTACATTTACAGTTTCATTCATATGAATCTAAAATATCTTAAATTGTAGTTCTAGAATTTGCAATGATCTCTCATGGCCGTCAGTCAATCTGTTCGCTTTAACAGTTTTGCCTGTCTTAGTAAATAGAGTAACCTACCGCTCTATCATTTTTTCTCTTTCAATGCAATTACTTGGGCGGTGGGGTAGCCTTAAACGGTTTCGTACGGTGTGGTCGGAGATTCTGAGCAGTCCGGGTATTTGGGAAGCGGTTGAGGTGGCTCTGGTCGTTCCGTCACATAGGTGGCGCAGTCGTATGTAGCGATCTTGGTCGGTCGTGGGTGGTTACTCTTGGTCGTCCCGACCTTGGACGATTACGTGTTGACCCAATTTGTTGAAACCGACCCCACAGCCTTGTGATGGTGCTGGGCGCTACATTGGCTACAGCTGATAGGCAAGCGGCCTATGACGTTGTTTCATTGCACTTCTGTTGATCTTGGCACAGATCAAACTCAGGAACATGTAACTTATAATAATAACTATTAAACAAACTCGCAGACGAGGCCGAAGGCTACGAGTTTGTTTAATATTAGGGGGCCTAGATCTATTTGTTGCATGTGGTCCTGTGGAGCAATTAATAGATATATTTCTTTATAAATATAGATCTACGTTCATTATCATAAATGACAACACTTCAAACTTTCAACAACCATACTCTAGTGGAGCATGGACCTCATCGCAAATTGATCGCAAGCACAAAAAGTCTTCCTTGTAAACCATTGCACTGTTAAATTCACGCTTAAAATAACAAAGGCAACATGGAGTCAGTCATAATCAAACAATGCGCAATGTCCATCGAAACCTCTGGAATCCTAAGCTCCGTCCCAGCGCGTATTCGTTACACACTCGGTAACATGGTATAGAGAGCTCCGAAAGCGGCATATCGCTGTGAGGAGCTTGCCAGAACCCGGAAGCAGCAAATCGAAATCAAAAGTACGACATATTTGGAATATACTGATTGTCAGAGGTAGGCATTTTCTTTCAGAAAATTACATGTTATTTCTCTTGTCATCAACTTTATTTTGTCCAAAACAGGACAAGTGAACCATCAGGCATATATTCGGATGATAACTGTCTTTTGACGATTGTCCCGGTCAGGTACTCGATGCAAGTATCAGCCTGCGTATGATAAATAGCTTACTCGTCATCGTCTCAAGACTTCTCTGGGATTTTAGCAGTTGTGGTCAATTCTCATCAATCATCCTGACTCAATTAATTAGTCATACCGCCAATGTGCGTAACCTTGTTGAACAAGCAATATCCTGTTCTAGACTAACGGCGCTTTGTTTCTGAAAATATACAGAATTTTGATAGAAACAAACAACTCCATGTAATTAAACATCAAGAGTCCCAGTGTGGTGCGAGATTCCGATGTGTTGAATATGTAGACTTACTTCATTTAGTGCTAAAGCATTATAGTAAGCATATTGGGGATCGGCTGATGGGAAAATAGTATCATTGTATGGTTCAGCCTAGTGTGACTGGGAGACAGACACGATCCTGTCTGTGCTACATATATTACAACTTGTGCATTATTACTGTTTGACTCATTGCTGCAGCAATGCACAGCTCATCATATACTTGTGTCACGACTTCGTATCATCGATTATTCAGTGTTTTATGTCACCTAGATCTAGTTACTATTTGTTTTTAAACCATGGCTCCTTTGTCTTTGACTGTGGTCTAACTAACTGAGTTGTTAGTTTAACACCTGTTGTCAATGACGGAACTTCTTTTTTCCCCTATCATTTGTCTTGTCCGCACGGATGGCTAACGAATGTAGTCTTCTGCCACGGCGACATGGGAGAAAGGGTGTGAAATTAACAACTAAATATTTACTTACATCAGTACCAATTGCTTATCCCTTTATGAACTGCGAAATGTGTATTATGCAATTTTTATACAGTATGTTACTCAATGCATTCTTGTATTTGTACAGTACTTGTGATTTTGAAGCTTTTCGTTCAATGAAACAAACAGACAGAAAAGAAATTACTATTATATCTTGATCAGGGCTATATTTGCTCATAATAGGCCCATCAACATGGGCAAGTAATATTTAGTTCATTGATAAATGTGCCCGAGTTGGTCTAAAACAAATGGTATACTCGCCACAGGACATGCATTCCATAACCCACATCAGCAAAGTGCGAGGTGCATGTGTGAAAGGCTCGGGGAACACATTTCACGTGCTTCACGCAGGGCCGACTAACACAGTGTTCTCACAGTTGAGCATAGAGTTCCTGAATATCTTTCAAAATGCCTTTAACAAAACAATGTTTTTTAAACATTTTAGGTGCTATAAATGTTGGACATGGTTTAAATTAATTAGATCTCTCCTGCGCCCTTAGGGATCTAACTGTCAAATTTTAAAAGTTGGATCCCTGCTTGGAGGGATCTAATTTATTCTTAGTGAAACAACAAAAGTAGACATTAAAAGCTTATTACTTTCCTGGATTTTCACCCATAGCCTTTCTAACCACTGATACAATTTGGGTATGCATTAATGTTCATTTAGATCATCTGTATGTGTTTCAGATTAATGTGACGTGATGGAGATGTCGTCACAGAGACAAGTTACATTCTTTCTGCTGGTCTGCTTCAGCGCCATCTTAGTCAATGGTAAGGATCTCGCAACATGAGGGAGATATGGGTGGCCCAGTCAATGAAGGTTTCACAATTCTCTGTTCAATTCACTCCCCTTAGACATGCCAGGATCTGTTGATCTAAGATTCACCTTGATTATGATCCTTGGATGTTAGCACCATACCCATGTTCATGGAATTACAACATGCATCGATTCAGACTTTAAGCAGCTTGACAGGCTCAACTTGTCAGGCTCAGCTTGACAGGCTCTGCTTGACAGGCTCAGCTTGACAGGTTCAGCTTGACAGGCTCAGCTTGACAGGCTCAACTTGACAGGCTCAGCTTACCATTCTCAGCTTACCAGGCTCAGCTTGACAGGCTCAGCTTACCAGGCTCAGCTTGACAGGCTCAGCTTGACAGGCTCAGCTTACCAGGCTCAGCTTGACAGGCTCAGCTTGACAGGCTCAGCTTAACAGGCTCAACTTACCAGGCTCAGCTTGACAGGCTCAGCTTAACAGATTTTTGACATTTTACTCACGAATTATTTACATACATGTATAAAAAATATCATGGAGAGCAATTGTTGATGCACCAATCATATGAAGCATACTACAGGGAGCTAATTGCATGTACACTGATATATTTCTTAGGAACTCAAAACACCGCATTGTCTTTCTGCAGTACAGCTGATATTGTCAGATGATGAATTTTATGAATGTGTGGAGTTTTGGCCACGTGTTTCGGCATGAATGCAGTGTTTCTGATGCTAAAATAGCAGGGGTCATGGGGGCTTGCCCCCACACAACAGCTTGAACTAAATGCTCTTTTTAGTGAGTAATAATCTAATTTTATTACCAAAGTTTTTCAAAGGAGGGTTTGTTTGAAATGTGGCCCTTTGTATGTCACTGATGAGGTTGTAACATGCCGTTATGCAACTTCTATTTTCGAATACATTTCAATGTTGAAGTCCATTGTTTTCGATGTTTGGCTTCATATTCAATTTAGTCATAGTCATACTGATTTAGTCAAACTTAACCATGTGTTAACCATACAAACGCAAACAGAGTAGCTTGTTCTGCTTATATCAGCTTTATCGCCTTGTTTGTCTAATAGTGTGGCTTGTGTTACTAGCGTCATGGCATGCGTCCACGCTTCATGTATGTATGGTCGGGTAGCCTAGTGGTTAACGTTCGCTCGTCACGCCGAAGACCCTCGTTCGAATCCCGACATGGGTACAATGTGTGAAGCCCATTTCTGGTGTCCCCCGCCGTGGTATTGCTGGAATATTGCTAAAAGCGGCATAAAACCAAACTCACTCACACTCATGTATGTATAGCCCTAGCAATATGTTGAATCGAAAACCAGCATCATGGAATAGTTCTCTTATTTTTAACATTACTCTTTTTCACATGACAATACAAAATTTCCCACTGATTATTTCAAAGCTTCAATTAGGGTTGGCATCTCAGCACACACCTTTGGGTACATGAACAGTGTATGATGCTTGCCCTTTCTTAACTGAACTGTACAAGATTCCTACTTGTCAGAACCAATATTATAAGTTGTAGCCGAATCACTCGTGGTACAACACCTAACATGGGACGCATTAAACCACACATACCCCAAGTGATACTGCTACAAGGATTTTATCTTGCCAACATGTTTCAATCTGCCATTGTTACAGAAATAAAACAAGTTGAAACAGCTGTTCGATTGACCTGAGGCAGAGCTCCAGATAAGCTTTTGGTGTTGTGGGTATTTTACCCATGCATTTTAAAATCATTGGGTATCAGTAATTCTATCTGCGTATTCAAATTTCTGTTACCCACTAGTTTTTACACATTTGGGTATTTAAGTTAATTATTTAAAAACACTATTCATCTAGTCCCTGCAAACTGGTGTCATGTGGGTTCGAGAGCTTTATAGGACTCAAAAATACCAGGATACTTCAACAAGAAAGTGTGATGGCAGTTGATCATGATGTAACTGTCATCGTGGAGTTGCTGATTTGCTAATCTAATACGCAGGGTTACTTCACAATATTTTGATGATACGCACAAGTTTTATTTTTGTAGCGTATCTGTAATGTTCATTGCGTATTTGATACGCTTGGATTATATTTTACTGTGTATTTCTGCATTTCTGATGCGTATTTCACGCAGATACCCAGCTTATCTGGAGCTCTGCCTGAGGTTAACTTGTGCTGTGTCATGTGACTTTTATTGACTCGTAAACAATGTGCAGGTTTTTGCATTGCAGCAGGGTACAAGGGTTTTCTTCTACCGCTCAGGAATCCACATGCAGCCTGTCTTGTTTGTGGCGGGGTATAAGGGATTTATTCTACTGCTCAGAAATTTTCCTTCCCAGGCAGGAAACATTACAAGTTATAGCACTATCACGAGGGGTACATGTCCAACTTTTGACTCTAGTAGTGTTACAGCTGTCCAACTTTTAACCCTAGTGGTGATCTAGCTGTCCATCTTTCCACCCTAGTGGTGTTCCAACTGTCCATCTTTCCACCCTAGTGGTGTTCCAACTGTCCAACTTTTCACCCTAGTGGTGCTCTAACTGCCCATCTTTTCACCCTAGTGGTGTTCCAACTGTCCATCTTTTCACCCTAGTGGTGTTCCAACTGTCCAACTTTTAACCCTAGTGGTGTTCCAACTGTCCAACTTTTAACCCTAGTGGTGTTCCAACTGTCCATCTTTCCACCCTAGTGGTGTTCCAACTGTCCATCTTTCCACCCTAGTGGTGTTCAAACTGTCCAACTTTTCACCCTAGTGGTGTTCCAACTGTCCAACTTTTAACCCTAGTGGTGTTCCAACTGTCCTTCTTTTAACCCTAGTGGTGTTCCAACTGTCCAACTTTTCACCCTAGTGGTGTTCCAACTGTTAACAGGCCGATTAACTTTGTTTTTGAAATACCAAAGTCGGACATGATGGTTGGAATGCTTGGCTCCATTGTAGGGAGAATTTCAAAGCCTTCACACTACAGTCCGTTTGACTCCAAATGAGAACGATGAATTGCAAAATAACTCGAAATCCAGAAAAGTGTATGAAACATCAATACGGTACTTGACCATGAATACCCTGTACCCTACAAAATCTGAATTTTGTTTATTTTAAGACCCATGATCATGATGATGGATGAAGTTCTTTAAGAAACTATCATGTAATTTTGTATAGAAATGCGTACATGACACGTAGGAGGGACAAACCGTGGAAGGCACAGCGCAAGCACGCATGCACTGCACGTTCTGTGGTAGGGGAAATGACAGAGCGTTAGAGGGGCCGTCTCATAATAATTTCAGTCGCAATCTGACTCGCTCATGCCATAGATCTCGTCGTCGGAACTGCTGGTGCCTGAACCGACTGCCACTATTATAGGTTGGACTGTTGCTGGCCGTAGTCAATCTCGTGACCAATAACGTGGCTCTATCTTGTCAACGACTGTGGCCACACAATGCCTCCATGTTTCTACTGTTACCCGACCAAGGGATTCCTTTACGAGTTGTTCAACGTCTCGTAATTTGAAAGTTGTGTTCGATCGTCCAACATCACCCTTGACGATGCCCCATACCAACTCGATAGGATTCAGGTCGCAGTGATAAGGTGGCAGTCGTAAGACAGCGTGACCCTGACCCTTGATGTAACTGTCAACTTTATACACAGGGTCAGGTTTCATAGTTTTGATGATTTCATAGAGCTGTGGTTTCGTCGCTCGAGAAGGAAAGGTAATGTTCCTCCGTTGCAGCCAAGTAACCGTGTCTCCTTTATGGTTATTAGAGGTTGGAGTCTTGCTTTCTGGATCCTGCACACTATGACACGGTGCATTGTCCATGACAATGAGAGACTTGGTAGGCAAAGCAGGGACTAATTTATCTTTCACCCACTCCAGAAATACATTGCCGTTCATTTCTGTGTGGTAGTCCCTGTTGTCTTTGGCCTTGGCTCTAAAGACGAGAAAACCCTGACTAGCAGAACCAGCATGGAGAACTATGAGTCTTTCCCCCTTTCCCATTGGTAACTTTCTACCAGACTCCTTACTGTCACCACTGGGTACCCACTGACTGCTGGCTGTGCGTGACGCATTTACCCATGTCTCATCTAAGAAGACGGGCTCATATCCTTCTTCACGTTTCTGCTTGATGGTACGAAGGTAATGATTTCGGAGACAAACAATGTCAGACCGTTCACACAACACAGCCCTATTTTCTCCAGTTATCTTTTTGTATTTGTAACCAAATGTATGCAACAGCTGCCATAGTTTGTACTTTGTAACACGTAAATCATGGTCAGTTTCAAGGTGTTTCTTCAAAATTCTTAGGGACAGGTACTTATTTTCTGCGTGCAGTTTAACAATTGCGTGTCTGACTTGATCCCTCTGAAAACTGTCTAATTTATCAACCTTGCGTGGTTTTGACATGTTCCCTACCTCCTTGGCCTGACTATTTGTATCTCGTCGACTAACAACATTTTTAAGTTTCTGAGGGGACATACCAAGAGCTTTTGAAGCTCGTTTCAAGAATTTATTAATTGCATAAAAAGGCTTTGCTCTTTCTGCTTCACTTCTAAAGAAATCATACACATTCAACATCAACTGTTTAACATCTGCTGAGTAGCGCATCTTGTCATTGAATGAACACGGTCACTGTGTAGCACGTGCAGACCGTGCTTGCGCTGTTCCTTCCACGGTTTGTCCCCCTACGTGTCATGTACACATTTCTATACAAAATTACATGATAGTTTCTTAAAGAACTTCATCTGTCATGGGTCTTAAATTAAACAAAATTCAAATTTTGTTGGGTACAGGGTATTCATGGTCAAGTACTGTATTGATGTTTCATACTCTTTTCTGGATTTTGAGTTATTTTGCAATTCATCGTTCTCATTTGGAGTCAAACCGACTGTAATTGATTAGGAAGTTTAACTGATGCGACCTTCTGTGCAGTTGATGGAGGTGTCTTCGGGTCTTCCTGCCGGGGGTTATTGTATCAGCATGATGAAAATAAAGGATGTGATTTTAATGAACTTGCCTTACATCTGGTTGTTACAATGTTCAAGTTATAATGAGGACCCCTTGGCCTTGATGTTTAAATTCAAACAGTGTTTGTTTTTCTCCACAGATGCGGCCGATACAAGTACGTCCTGCCCTGAAGTAGCATGTCTTGGCCAGCCGGTCAACATCACCTGTGACATCACAGGGGTGTACGATACAATTGGGTTTTCACGGCCAGGGGGTCTTGAAGTAATGACGTGCCTGGCCAAGGAGGAAAAATGCTATGTTAATGTTGATAATTATGAGATTGTGTTTCGCTCTCCTGAAAAGCATATTCTTCGTATCAAGAAATTTGCAAAGAAGGATATTGGAACGTGGAATTGTCGAGATGGAACCGACCCTCTCTTGAAGACTTGTCATGTGGATGGATATGGTAAGATTCATACCATTTTGAAGTTGGGTGGGGGATATAGGAACCGTGTTTTCTGTCCTTCTGCTTCTCAGTTGGGGCAGATTTTCAGAAAAGCTATATTTTTAGTCTTATCCCATCTCACAATATGCATTTCTTTTTCTTCTTTCGATCCTATATGTCTGTAACTGCCTGAGGTGGCCCAGTGACAGCAGAGTTCACTGACTCTGCAGAGTGTCTAGATCGAATCCCACTGCTGACTCATGGCCCTTTGCGTTGTGTTTTATTTGATGGTAACTGTCTGGATTAACCGTGAGTCAGCTAACTGGGGACACTCCTGTGAGACGTTGTAGTAGGGTTCATGCATCCGGCGGGGGAATAAGGACAAAAATGCTTGTTGAAAATATAATGAATTTTTAATATAACAAAAGTGAAATGATTAACAAAATATAAAATTAAAAAATTCAACAATCACACAGAAGAAAGCTGTCTATAATTTACTACCTATATATTTCTCCCTACCCTGAGCCTACTTATTCCAAACCCCACTTCTCCCCCAAGGAAACCCCTACACAAACTATATGAAAATATCTACCTACATACTTACGATTCTACTAACATCCTAATTTCTCCCCCACCCAGCTACATCAAAACCTATTCTACAACTAACTATAGAGGCGTCTTGTTAAACAAGAGTCTGTGTCAAAATATCCCCGAACTTGAGAGGACTAATTTGTCGGGGAATCCCGAGCTCATAAGACACTGAATGCTGCAGTACCAGGTCCTTATATACCGTTAGGCTGACCCTTGACCCTGTCATACAGGCATTGGCCAGCAACGCTGTTTGCAACCAATCAGGGCGTTCCTACCATATTGTGCTCGGCGGATCAAAGGTCGTGGCAGAACATACACGTGGCTCGAGCACACACCCCAAAGGTCCAAAAGAAAACGATTTACGGCCAAAAACATGAGTAATAAGAGAGATAACTGACTACAGGATACATATGACTTCCAGACGTACTTATATCAAATGTATAAGATGTTTTTTATTGGTTCTAAAAATAGCCACCCAGTGTCCCTCATGCTATGTTATTACGCTAAATGACGTGATCTTCTACATGTCTGAAACAAAGGTTTTCTGCTTCTAAAGAATATTCATCCATACATAACTCACATCGCCAGATCTAGGTCATGCACGAATTGCATGCTGGTTGACCTACATGCGCCGATCACGTGTCTATCCCAGCAAACTCATCCTCTTTCAAATCGCCACAATGGTGATGTGTTTTTGTATCAGGGAATCCATTTTTGTTTTTTCCTTGCCAATTTACCTATTTCTACCGTAGACGTGTAGGTCTCTCCTTCCTCAGTTTGTTGCGGCAAGTGTATTAAATTATGTTTCAACAGAGTTATGTCCCTTGCTCCGTGCTTTTCGACTTAGTTCATACTGAATGAAATGGGGACATGTTTTCTTAGAAACTAATAAAGTTACATGAAGGAAGTTAGCGCGCTAGACTAAGAGATACTTGTCAAGACTGAGTTAGAAAATTGGTGCCGTAAATAATGTTTTTCCAAAGTTACATCCCTTGCTACATGTTTTTAGAATTTGTGAATACATGCCAAGTTACGGTCTTGATCCATGTTTTTTATTTGTTTTATTCGGTGCATAGTGAAAGTAAAATCAGATTTTCCCATGACATAAAGCCACCCCAGTGCCTCTCTCTTTCTAAGATTATATTGGACTCTTTGTTTCCACTGTTAACATCAACTTATTTGTTCTTCACTACCCTTTCATGCCACCCGTGAAGATCCATGTAGAGAATAGGTCTTCAGCAACCCATGCTTGCTGTAAAAGGTGACAATGCTTGTCATAAGAGGCAGCTAATGGGATTGGGTGGTCAGGCTCGCTGACTTCGTTGATCAATGTCATCATATGCCAATTGCATAGATTGATACTCTTGATGTCAATCACTGGATTGTCTGGTCATGACTCGATTATTTACAGACCCCTGTCATGCAGATGGAATATTGCTGAGTGTGGTGTTAAATAGCATACAAACAAACAATCTATATCATGCTGAAGCATAATTATTTTTTTCAAAAATTTTCAGGAACAAAAATTCTTTTACAAGAAAATCCCTGCATCTCTTCCCACCCCACTGTCCCTTATGGCTGTGAGTATACATATTTCTGGCTACAGCCCAGTATTATTTTCATTTGATTTCCTTGCTTATTTCAGATGTAAAACAGTCCCCAACACCCCCTACTCCAGGTTGCGTTAGAGTCGACAAAAGTACATTTGGTCCGAGTACATTGTGTAAAGGTTTTGAAGAGGATCCAAATGTCAACATTACAATAACAGTGAGACGGATTAAGGATTTCAAATCACCACTTTTGGTGAAGATTCACTGCCATGTCTCCATGTGTGAGTCTGATTGTGGGAATGCTGTGCCTGTGTTTGGAAACGCCTCCATGAGTGAGTCTGATCTTTGGGATGCTGTGCCTGTGTTAGGCCACTCGCCCATGTGTCAGTCTGATTGTTGGGATTCTGTGCCTGTGTTTGGCAATGCCTCCATGTGTGAGTCTGATTGTTGGGATGCTGTGCCTGTGTTTGGCAATGCCTCCATGTGTGAGTCTGATTGTTGGGATGCTGTGTTAGGCCACTCCTCCATGTGTCAGTCTGATTGTTGGGATGCTGTGCCTGTGTTTGGCAACGCCTCCATGTGTGAGTCTGATTGTTGGGATGCTGTGCCTGTGTTTGGAAATGCCTCCATGTGTCAGTCTGATTGTGTGGATGCTGTGCCTGTGTTAGGCCACTCCTCCATGTGGGAGTCCGATTGTTTGGATGCTGTGCCTGTGTTTGGCAACGCCTCCATGTGGGAGTCTGATTGTTGGGATGCTGTGCCTGTGTTTGGCAACACCTCCATGTGTCAGTCTGATTGTTGGGATGCTGTGCCTGTGTTAGGCCACTCCTCCATGTGGGAGTCCGATTGTTTGGATGCTGTGCCTGTGTTTGGCAACGCCTCCATGTGTCAGTCTGATTGTTGGGATGCTGTGCCTGTGTTTGGCAATGCCTCCATGTGTGAGTCTGATTGTTGGGATGCTGTGCCTGTGTTAGGCCACTCCTCCATGTGGGAGTCTGATTGTTGGGATGCTGTGCCTGTGTTTGGCAACACCTCCATGTGTCAGTCTGATTGTTGGGATGCTGTGCCTGTGTTTGGCAATGCCTCCATGTGTGAGTCTGATTGTTGGGATGCTGTGCCTGTGTTTGGCAACACCTCCATGTGTCAGTCTGATTGTTGGGATGCTGTGCCTGTGTTTGGCAACGCCTCCATGTGTCAGTCTGATTGTGTGGATGCTGTGCCTGTGTTAGGTCACTCCTCTATGTGTGAGTCTGATTGTTGGGATGCTGTGTTAGGCCACTCCTCCATGTGGGAGTCTGATTGTTGGGATGCTGTGCCTGTGTTAGGTCACTCCTCTATGTGTCAGTCTGATTGTTGGGATGCTGTGTTAGGCCACTCATCCATGTGTGAGTCTGATTGTTGGGATGCTGTGCCTGTGTTAGGTCACTCCTCTATGTGTCAGTCTGATTGTTGGGATGCTGTGTTAGGCCACTCATCCATGTGTGAGTCTGATTGTTGGGATGCTGTGCCTGTGTTAGGCCGCTCCCCCATGTGTGAGTCTGATTGTGTGGATGCTGTGCCTGTGTTAGGTCACTCCTCTATGTGTGAGTCTGATTGTTGGGATGCTGTGTTAGGCCACTCATCCATGTGTGAGTCTGATTGTTGGGATGCTGTGCCTGTGTTAGGTCACTCCTCTATGTGTGAGTCTGATTGTTGGGATGCTGTGTTAGGCCACTCCTCCATGTGTGAGTCTGATTGTTGGGATGCTGTGCCTGTGTTTGGCAACGGCTCCATGAGTGAGTCTGATTGTGTGGATGCTGTGCCTGTGTTAGGTCACTCCTCTATGTGTGAGTCTGATTGTTGGGATGCTGTGTTAGGCCACTCCTCCATGTGTGAGTCTGATGGTTGGGATGCTGTGCCTGTGTTAGGCCGCTCCCCCATGTGTGAGTCTGATTGTTGGGATGCTGTGCCTGTGTTAGGCCACTCCCCCATGTGTGAGTCTGATTGTTGGGATGCTGTGCCTGTGTTAGGCCACTCCCCCATTTGTGAATCTGATTGTTGGAATGCTGTGCCTGTGTTTGGCCACTCCTCTATGTGTGAGTCTGATTGTTGGGATGCTGTGTTAGGCCACTCCTCCATGTGGGAGTCCGATTGTTGGGATGCTGTGCCTGTGTTTGGCAACGCCTCCATGTGTCAGTCTGATTGTTGGGATGCTGTGCCTGTGTTTGGCAACGGCTCCATGAGTGAGTCTGATTGTTGGGATGCTGTGCCTGTGTTAGGCCGCTCCCCCATGTGTGAGTCTGATTGTTGGGATGCTGTGCCTGTGTTAGGCCACTCCCCCATGTGTGAGTCTGATTGTTGGGATGCTGTGTTAGGCCACTCCTCCATGTGGGAGTCCGATTGTTGGGATGCTGTGCCTGTGTTTGGCAACGCCTCCATGTGTCAGTCTGATTGTTGGGATGCTGTGCCTGTGTTTGGCAACGGCTCCATGAGTGAGTCTGATTGTTGGGATGCTGTGCCTGTGTTAGGCCGCTCCCCCATGTGTGAGTCTGATTGTTGGGATGCTGTGCCTGTGTTAGGCCACTCCCCCATGTGTCAGTCTGATTGTTGGGATGCTGTGCCTGTGTTTGGCAATGCCTCCATGTGTGAGTCTGATTGTTGGGATACTGTGTTAGGCCACTCCTCCATGTGTGAGTCTGATTGTTGGGATGCTGTGCCTGTGTTAGGCCGCTCCCCCATCTGTGAGTCTGATTGTTGGGATGCTGTGCCTGTGTTCGGCCACTCCTCCATCTGTAAGTCTGATTGTTGGGATACTGTGTTAGGCCACTCCTCCATGTGTGAGTCTGATTGTTGGGATGCTGTGCCTGTGTTCGGCAACGCCTCCATGTGTGAGTCTGATTGTTGGAATGCTGTGTTAGGCCACTCCTCCATGTGGGAGTCTGATTGTTGGGATGCTGTGCCTGTGTTATGCCACTCCTCCATGTGTGAGTCTGATTGTTGGGATGCTGTGCCTGTGTTCGGCAACGCCTCCATGTGTGAGTCTGATTGTTGGAATGCTGTGTTAGGCCACTCATCCATGTGTGAGTCTGATTGTTGGGATGCTGTGCCTGTGTTCGGCCACTCCTCCACCGTTACATTTTTTTCCGAATGATCTTTGCATGTCAGATTGATGCATTTGGTAAAAATGACAGAACAGAAAACCAGTTTTTACGGTTTGAATAATATTTTTAATTTCTTGCAAACATAACTACTTCTTGACATGTGATCACTTTGGACTTCTCCCTCATTGATCTGACAAGCCGTGATATAACTGGAATACTGTTCAAAGCGGCATTAACCAAACTCACTCGCTCACTCACTATAAGTCAGTACCATGATTACAGAGATTATCCTGTGATATGTGATTGTTTGTTTGCTGTTAAGGCCACACTAAGAATTCAAGCTATATGACCAAATAAATTGTTTCATGATATAAGTAATGTCGGATGTCTCCAGAGTATTACACACAATGAACCAGGTCACTGGGCCTGACCACGTGATCCATCAAGTTGCCTGTTTTGACGGTCATAGGTTGCTGGGTACCAATTCTAACACAGACTCCCCACAGTGTAGATGTGTGAATAGGTTCATCTGAATAAGGGACGATCGGTTACAAGATAAGCTGGTCCTTTGTCCAGTATTACAGTCCCAAATGTCCAGATTAGTAAGATATTTCAGTCAGTATATTTATTTTTTTCAGGTGGCCAACCTGCCCTACACCTTCACCTATGACCAGTACAAACAGAATGATAATGTGTCTCTCCCCTACATCCCGAAAGGTGGGGATGTAGAATGCAGAGTCACTGGGCCAGCCTCTCAGTGCTACACTGTCTCCAAGCCATACAAGAACGAAATCTGTAAGTTTCCAAGTGCAGGCACAAGGGCTGCATATTGGCGGAAAAATTGTATTACAATATATTAAGGGGTTAAAAAATCTGTAAGTCCGATGTTCCGGACACATCAATATTAGACATGGACTCCTGAACTCTTTTGTGGGTTAAATGTCTGATGACGTACCTATTTATTATTGGGACATATGTGTTTCAATGGCCATGCTTACACCATCGAAAATTGCAGACAATCTACCTTTTTATACTCATTGTTTATACTCATTGTGAGGCTTGTCCTCCTTGTTAACCATACAACCATGTTGCCACAACATCCTATGTGAATGTATATTTGAAGTCGCCCACTTCGACCAATCGCAATGAGTTTGAATATAAACAGTGAAAGCAATTTGGAATAACTACATATCATAAAATCATAAAATATGTTATTGCATATGAAAGTTCGAAATCACACAAGAACAAAATCTGTAAGTTGCCAAACATTGGCACCTCTTTTCCCCTCAGTGCTATACACCCTCCAAGCCATACAAGAACAAAATCTGTAAGTTGCCAAACATTGGCACCTCTTTTCCCCTTAGTGCTATACACCCTCCAAGCCATACAAGAACAAAATCTGTAAGTTGCCAAACATTGGCACCTCTTTTCCCCTTAGTGCTATACACCCTCCAAGCCATACAAGAACAAAATCTGTAAGTTGCCCCTCAGTGATATACACCCTCCAAGCCATACAAGAACAAAATCTGTAAGTTGCCAAACATTGGCCCCTTTTTTCCCCTCAGTGCTATACACCCTCCAAGCCACACAATAACAAAATCTGTAAGTTGCCAAACATTGGCACCTCTTTTCCCCTTAGTGCTATACACCCTCCAAGCCATACAAGAACAAAATCTGTAAGTTGCCCCTCAATGCTATACACCCTCCAAGCCATACAAGAACAAAATATGTAAGTTGCCCCTCAGTGCTTTACACCCTCCAAGCCATACATGAACAAAATCTGTAAGTTGCCCCTCAGTGCTTTACACCCTCCAAGCCATACAAGAACAAAATATGTAAGTTGCCCCTCAATGCTATATACCCTCCAAGCCATACAAGAACAAAATATGTAAGTTGCCCCTCAGTGCTTTACACCCTCCAAGCCATACATGAACAAAATCTGTAAGTTGCCCCTCAGTGCTTTACACCCTCCAAGCCATACATGAACAAAATCTGTAAGTTGCCCCTCAATGCTATATACCCTCCAAGCCATACAAGAACAAAATATGTAAGTTGCCCCTCAGTGCTTTACACCCTCCAAGCCATACATAAACAAAATCTGTAAGTTGCCAAACATTGACACCTCTTTACCCCTCACTAATGTACTCACTCACCTATGCACTCACTCACTCACTCACTCACTCACCTATGTTCTAACTCACTCACTCACCTATGTTCTAACTCACTCACTAACCTATATACTCACTCACTCACTCACTCACCTATGTACCCACCCACTCACTCACCTATGTACTCACCCACTCACTCACCTATGTACTCATCCACTCACTCACCTATGTACTCATCCACTCACTCACCTATGTACCCACTCACTAACCTATATACTCACCCATTCACCTATGTACTCACTCACTCACCTATGTACTCACCAACTCACTCACCTATGTACTCACTCACTAACCTTTATACTCACTCACTCATCTATATACTCACCCATTCACCTATGTACTCACTCACTCACCTATGTACTCACCAACTCACCCACCTATGTACTCACCCACTCACTCACCTATGTACTCACCCACTCACTCACCTATGTACCCACTCACTCACCTATGTACTCACTCACTCACTCACCTATGTACTCACCCACTCACTCACCTATGTACCCACTCACTCACCTATGTGCTCACTCACTCACCTATGTACTCACTCACTCACTTATGTACTCACTCACTCACTCACTCACCTATGTACTCATCCACTTACTCACCTATGTACCCACTCACTCACCTATGTACTCACTCACTCACTCACTCACTCACTCACCTTTGTACTCACTCACCCCTATGTACTCACTCACCTATGTACTCACTCACTGATGTACTCACTCACCTATGTACTCACTCACCTGTGTACTCACTCACCTGTGTACTCACTCACCTTTGTACTCACTCACCCCTATGTACTCACTCACCGATGTACTCACTCACCTTTGTACTCACTCACTTTTGTACTCACTCACTCACCTATGTACTCACTCACTCACTCACATATGTACTCACTCACTCACCTATGTTCTCACTCACTCACTCACTCACTCACCTTTGTACTCACTCACCCCTATGTACTCACCGATGTACTCACTCGCCTTTGTACTCACTCACTCACCTATGTACTCACTCACTCACTCACTCACTCACCTATGAACTCACTCACCTTTGTGCTCACTCACTTACCTATGTACTCACTCACCTATGTACTCACTAACTCACCAATGTTCTCACTCACTCATTCACTTTCATCTTTTCAGGTGCTCCTGGATTTCCTATATGGGCTTACATTGTCATTGGCATTGTAGTTGTACTGGGCCTTGTCGGCCTAGCGGTTGATTGCTTTTACTGCAAGCCAAAGGATAAGGGCCTCACTCACTTCGTGATGGCCAAACTGAATTCCAGGAATGCTGATGTAACAACTGAAGTGTATGTATAACCTCAGACTTTCAACAAACTTTGAAGCTTAATTGTCCTAAATTCCGTAGTTTTACACCTCCCTGACTTGTGGCACGCCTTGGATAAACTTATGAATCTGGATGACTGGTGTAAACATACAGACATGCACTTTTGGTGAGCAATAATGCAAAAGTCAACTCCACTTCAAACCAAAGTAATGATGATGATTTAAAATCAGCTTTCAACTTGTTAAAATTCTGCAGTGTATTTGACAAATTCTGCTGTAGAATACTAGCTCAAAGAAAAGTTCTGCATGAGTTCAGCACAGAATATGATTTTCTGCACAATAGTTACATTTCTGCACTGGATCGTATTTCTGCAGATTATTCCGCAAATCCAGAATACTGCAGGAATGGACATGTCTCCAATAAGACCATCATAGACCCATACCACAAAGTGATTTAAGCGCTGTGAAGAAGTGCAATGTTAAAGTCAACTTAAGATAATACAAGATAACTTTAACAGAAGCTGAAGAGCAGATGATGCCATGTGCATGTTAGAGTACTCCCTGTGGGGGATCCATGCTAGAACTGGCCCCCAGTAACCTATGCTTGTCATTATAGGAGCCTGCGTGGATCAGGTGGTCCAAATATGTAGATCGTGCTCATGATGTCGATCACTGGCTTGTCTAGTCCACACTTGATTTTATATATATAGAACACTGTCATATGACTGGAATATTGCTGAGTGAGGCATTGAACAACAAACATACTTGACAGAATGAGACCAGTTCCAAAAAGAATCGTAATATGGACTTGTGATTATCTTAGCGCTAAGATGTGGAATGGAGACCAGACAAGCATCTTCAGAACAGGTCTTCTTGGATGTTCGTGTTGTTCGTGCTAGCTACAACTGTTATAACTCCCATACTCATCTCAGCCTAATGTATGTCTTTGCGCTAAGATGGTATGTCAAATGAGGCCCTGTACCCATGCTTCTCCTGAGAGTTGACTCATGTGGATAGGATGATTACAATATGTGACCCAGCTGATTGTATGTCGATGTTCTACCATGGCGGGGATCATGTCACCCACTGATTTGCCAGTACAAATGGTGCCCCAGTTAGCTGTGTAGATTTGTGTCACTTGTGGGCAGGGTTGATTAGTAACCAATCGCTGTGATATAACTTGAACACTGCCGACTGTGGTATAAAGCCATGACCTCTCACAGTGGGGCCCCCGACCCATGAAGATCCGGGGAAGACTAGCTATTCAGCAACCGAGGCTTGTGATAAAAGGTGACTATGCTTGTTGTTAGAGGCGACTAACGGTTGGTTTGTTGTTTAATGACGTAATCAGCAATATTCCAGCTATATGACAGCGCTTAGCGGGATCAGGTGGTCAGGCTCACTGACTTGGTTGATGCATGTCATCGTATCCCAATTGCATGGATCGATGCTCTTGATGTAAATCATTGGATCGTCTGGTCCAGACTCAATTATTTACAGACCACTGGAATATTGCTGAGTGCTGCGTTAAACATCAAACAAACAAAAAAACAAACGCAGTGGGACCCAGGTGGCGCAGTCGTCTTAGGCATCGCAGTGCAGAGTTGCATCTCTTGGACACACAAGAAACCTGTGATTTTGGAATTCTTGATTCGATACCTCTGGATGTGATAGATAATCTGAGCACACCTCCTTAGGAGCTGAATGTGGCCTCAATTAAACCCTGACTGAACTTTGATCATCCAGTCAAAATAAAGGATGTATGAGTTCTTGATCCAATCAGATGTCGGCCTTCTAAAATGATTTAACTTAAATTTGTCCCCACCTTGACTCCTTGAAAGTACTCATTTTTGGGTGTAGATGATATTGTGTTCAGAAACGTCAGTGTGCATAAAATATCTACAACAATATTATGGCATTGCCTTTATTATTTCCATTGGGAACTGGTCATATGTTTTCGTTTTTGAGATACTGAGATCATATATGGTAATCTGAATGCTTCACTTGCCCTTACCAAGACTTAAGACTTGATTGTCTGATTAGAAATTGACGCGACGTGACCTCCTGCGGAAACCTAGCCAGACCTTACAGCTGGGACATTGCATTGCTCCATATTAGCTTTGGCAAAAGCCTATGAAACCTGACCAGCTTTCACAAGACTGAGAAATTCTTTCTGTTGATAATTTGAAGGCTTGAGAGATATGTTTCTCTTCATTCTGTTGACTTCTAGATTTATCAATGCTAACTCATTCCAGCACCAGCATGAATAAGAAGAAAGAGGAGATAAAGGAAGAGACAACAGAACGAACAGATAGGTGAGACACTCTGCAAGTATTGAGACACAGTCTGCTGCTATAGGTGAGACACTCTGCAAGTATTGTGACACCGTCTGCTGCTACAGGTGAGACACTCTGCAAGTATTCAGACACCGTCTGCTGCTATAGCTGAGACACTCTGCAAGTATTGTGACACCGTCTGCTGCTATAGGTGAGACACTCTGCAAGTATTGAGACACAGTCTGCTGCTACAGGTGAGACACTCTGCAAGTATTGTGACACCGTCTGCTGCTACAGGTGAGACACTCTGCAAGTATTGTGACACCGTCTGCTGCTACAGGTGAGACACTCTGCAAGTATTGAGACACCGTCTGCTGCTACAGGTGAGACACTCTGCAAGTATTGAGACACCGTCTGCTGCTACAGGTGAGACACTCTGCAAGTATTGAGACACCGTCTGCTGCTATAGGTGAGACACTCTGCAAGTATTGTGACACAGTCTGCTGCTATAGGTGAGACACTCTGCAAGTATTGTGACACCGTCTGCTGCTATGGGTGAGACACTCTGCAAGTATTGAGACACAGTCTGCTGCTACAGGTGAGACACTCTGCAAGTATTGTGACACCGTCTGCTGCTATAGGTGAGACACTCTGCAAGTATTGTGACACCGTCTGCTGCTACAGGTGAGACACTCTGCAAGTATTGTGACACCGTCTGCTGCTACAGGTGAGACACTCTGCAAGTATTGTGACACCGTCTGCTGCTATAGGTGAGACACTCTGCAAGTATTGTGACACCGTCTGCTGCTACAGGTGAGACACTCTGCAAGTATTGTGACACCGTCTGCTGCTATAGGTGAGACACTCTGCAAGTATTGTGACACCGTCTGCTGCTATAGGTGAGACACTCTGCAAGTATTGTGACACCGTCTGCTGCTATAGGTGAGACACTCTGCAAGTATTGAGACACAGTCTGCTGCTATAGGTGAGACACACTGCAAGTATTGTCACACCCTCTGCTGCTACAGGTGAGACACTCTGCAAGTATTGTGACACCGTCTGCTGCTATAGGTGAGACACTCTGCAAGTATTGTGACACCGTCTGCTGCTATAGGTGAGACACTCTGCAAGTATTGAGACACAGTCTGCTGCTATAGGTGAGACACACTGCAAGTATTGTCACACCCTCTGCTGCTATAGGTGAGACACTCTGCAAGTATTGAGACACAGTCTGCTGCTATAGGTGAGACACACTGCAAGTATTGTCACACCCTCTGCTGCTATAGGTGAGACACTCTGCAAGTATTGTGAAACCGTCTGCTGCTATAGGTGGGACACTCTGCAAGTATTGAGACACAGTCTGCTGCTATAGGTGAGACACACTGCAAGTATTGTCACACCCTCTGCTGCTATAGGTGAGACACTCTGCAAGTATTGAGACACTGTCTGCTGCTATAGGTGAGACACTCTGCAAGTATTGAGACACAGTCTGCTGCTATAGGTGAGACACACTGGAAGCATTGAGACACAGTCTGCTGCTATAGGTGAGGCACGCTTGAAGCATTGAGACACAGTCTGCTGCTATAGGTGAGACACTCTGCAAGTATTGAGACACAGTCTGCTGCTATAGGTGAGACAGGCTGGAAGCATTGAGACACAGTCTGCTGCTATAGGTGAGACACGCTTGAAGCATTGAGACACCGTCTGCTGCTATAGGTGAGACACACTGGAAGCATTGAGACACAGTCTGCTGCTATAGGTGAGACACACTGCAAGTATTGAGTCACAGTCTGCTGCTATAGGTGAGACACACAGGAAGCATTGAGACACAGTCTGCTGCTATAGGTGAGACACTCTGCAAGTATTGAGACACTGTCTGCTGCTATAGGTGAGACACTCTGCAAGTATTGAGACACAGTCTGCTGCTATAGGTGAGACACTCTGCAAATATTGAGACACAGTCTGCTGCTATAGGTGAGACACACTGGAAGCATTGAGACACAGTCTGCTGCTATAGGTGAGACACTCTGCAAGTATTGAGACATGCTACCAGTATAGAGACACAGTCCGCTGCTATAGGTGAGACACTCTGCAAGTATTGAGACACAGTCTGCTGCTATAGGTGAGACACTCTTCAAGTATTGAGACACAGTCTGCTGCTATAGGTGAGACACTCTGCAAGTATTGAGACACAGTCTGCTGCTATAGGTGAGACACTCTGCAAGTATTGAGACACAGTCTGCTGCTATAGGTGAGACACACAGGAAGCATTGAGACACAGTCTGCTGCTATAGATGAGACACTCTGCAAGTATTGAGACACCGTCTGCTGCTATAGGTGAGACACTCTGCAAGTATTGAGACACCGTCTGCTGCTATAGGTGAGACACGATGGAAGCATTGAGACACAGTCTGCTGCTATAGGTGAGACACTCTGCAAGTATTGTGACACAGTCTGATGCTATAGGTGAGACACTCTGCAAGTATTGTGACACAGTCTGCTGCTATAGGTGAGACACGCTGCAAGTATTGAGACACAGTCTGATGCTATAGATGAGACACGATGGAAGCATTGAGACACAGTCTGCTGCTATAGGTGAGACACGCTGAAAGTATTGAGACACAGTCTGATGCTATAGGTGAGACACTCTGCAAGTATTGAGACATGCTACCTGTATAGAGACACAGTCAGCTTGTGTAGGTGAGACATGCTACCTGTATTGTGAAACAGTCTGCTTGTGTAGGTGAGACATGCTACCTGTATTGTGAAACAGTCTGCTTGTGTAGGTGAGACATGCTACCTGTATTGTGAAACAGTCTGCTTGTGTAGTTGAGACATGCTACCTGTATAGAGACACAGTCTGCTTGTGTAGTTGAGACATGCTACCTGTATAGAGACACAGTCTGCTTGTGTAGTTGACACATGCTACCTGTATAGAGACACAGTCTGCTTGTGTAGTTGAGACATGCTACCTGTATAGAGACACAGTCTGCTTGTGTAGGTGAGACATGCTACCTGTATAGAGACACAGTCTGCTTGTGTAGTTGAGACATGCTCCCTGTATTGAGACACAGTCCGCTGGTTTAGGTGAGACATGCTCCCTGTATTGAGACACAGTCTGCTTGTGTAGGTGAGACATGCTACCTGTATTGAGGCACAGTCTGCTTGTGTAGGTGAGACATGCCACCTGTATTGTGAAACAGTCTGCTTGTGTAGGTGAGACATGCTACCTGTATAGAGACACAGTCTGCTTGTGTAGGTGAGACATGCTACCTGTATAGAGACACAGTCTGCTTGTGTAGTTGAGACATGCTACCTGTATTGAGACAGAGTCTGCTTGTGTAGGTGAGACATGCTACCTGTATTGAGACACAGTCTGCTTGTGTAGTTGAGACATGCTACCTGTATTGTGAAACAGTCTGATTGTGTAGGTGAGACATGCTACCTGTATAGAGACACAGTCTGCTTGTGTAGTTGAGACATGCTACCTGTATTTAGAGACACAGTCTGCTTGTGTAGTTGAGACATGCTACCTGTATAGAGACACAGTCTGCTTGTGTAGTTGAGACATGCTACCTGTATTTAGAGACACAGTCTGCTTGTGTAGTTGAGACATGCTACCTGTATAGAGACACAGTCTGCTGGTGTAGGTGAGACATGCTACCTGTATAGAGACACAGTCTGCTTGTGTAGTTGAGACATGCTACCTGTATTGAGACACAGTCCGCTGGTGTAGGTGAGACATGCTCCCTGTATTGAGACGCAGTCTGCTTGTGTAGGTGAGACATGCTACCTGTATTGAGACACAGTCTGCTTGTGTAGTTGAGACATGCTACCTGTATTGAGACACAGTCTGCTGGTGTAGGTGAGACATTCTACCTGTATTGAGACACAGTCCGCTGGTGTAGGTGAGACATGCAACCTGTATTGAGACACAGTCTGCTTGTGTAGTTGAGACATGCTACCTGTATTGAGACACAGTCTGCTTGTGTAGGTGAGACATGCTACCTGTATTGAGACACAGTCTGCTTGTGTAGGTGAGACATGCTACCTGTATAGAGACACAGTCTGCTGGTGTAGGTGAGACATGCTACCTGTATTGAGACACAGTCTGCTGGTGTAGGTGAGACATGCTACCTGTATTGAGACACAGTCCGCTGGTGTAGGTGAGACATGCTACCTGTATTGAGACAGAGTCTGCTTGTGTAGGTGAGACATGCTACCTGTATTGAGACACAGTCTGCTTGTGTAGGTGAGACATGCTACCTGTATTGAGACACAGTCTGCTTGTGTAGGTGAGACATGCTACCTGTATAGAGACACAGTCTGCTTGTGTAGTTGAGACATGCTCCCTGTATTGAGACACAGTCCGCTGGTTTAGGTGAGACATGCTCCCTGTATTGAGACACAGTCTGCTTGTGTAGGTGAGACATGCTACCTGTATTGAGACACAGTCTGCTTGTGTAGGTGAGACATGCTACCTGTATTGTGAAACAGTCTGCTTGTGTAGGTGAGACATGCTACCTGTATAGAGACACAGTCTGCTTGTGTAGGTGAGACATGCTACCTGTATAGAGACACAGTCTGCTTGTGTAGTTGAGACATGCTACCTGTATTGAGACAGAGTCTGCTTGTGTAGGTGAGACATGCTACCTGTATTGAGACACAGTCTGCTTGTGTAGGTGAGACATGCTACCTGTATTGTGAAACAGTCTGATTGTGTAGGTGAGACATGCTACCTGTATAGAGACACAGTCTGCTTGTGTAGTTGAGACATGCTACCTGTATTTAGAGACACAGTCTGCTTGTGTAGTTGAGACATGCTACCTGTATAGAGACACAGTCTGCTTGTGTAGTTGAGACATGCTACCTGTATTTAGAGACACAGTCTGCTTGTGTAGTTGAGACATGCTACCTGTATAGAGACACAGTCTGCTGGTGTAGGTGAGACATGCTACCTGTATAGAGACACAGTCTGCTTGTGTAGTTGAGACATGCTACCTGTATTGAGACACAGTCCGCTGGTGTAGGTGAGACATGCTCCCTGTATTGAGACGCAGTCTGCTTGTGTAGGTGAGACATGCTACCTGTATTGAGACACAGTCTGCTTGTGTAGTTGAGACATGCTACCTGTATTGAGACACAGTCTGCTGGTGTAGGTGAGACATTCTACCTGTATTGAGACACAGTCCGCTGGTGTAGGTGAGACATGCAACCTGTATTGAGACACAGTCTGCTTGTGTAGTTGAGACATGCTACCTGTATTGAGACACAGTCTGCTTGTGTAGGTGAGACATGCTACCTGTATTGAGACACAGTCTGCTTGTGTAGGTGAGACATGCTACCTGTATAGAGACACAGTCTGCTGGTGTAGGTGAGACATGCTACCTGTATTGAGACACAGTCTGCTTGTTTAGGTGAGACATGCTCCCTGTATTGAGACACAGTCTGCTTGTGTAGGTGAGACATACCTACCTGTATTGAGACACAGTCCGCTGGTGTAGGTGAGACATGGTACCTGTATAGAGACACAGTCTGCTTGTGTAGGTGAGACATGCTACCTGTATTGAGACACAGTCTGCTTGTGTAGGTGAGACATGCTACCTGTATAGAGACACTGTCTGCTTGTGTAGTTGAGACATGCTACCTGTATTGAGACACAGTCTGCTGGTTTAGGTGAGACATGCTTCCTGTATTGAGACACAGTCTGCTTGTGTAGGTGAGACATGCTACCTGTATTGAGACACAGTCTGCTGGTTTAGGTGAGACATGCTCCCTGTATTGAGACACAGTCTGCTTGTGTAGGTGAGACATACCTACCTGTATTGAGACACAGTCTGCTGGTGTAGGTGAGACATGCTACCTGTATAGAGACACAGTCTGCTGGTGTAGGTGAGACATGCTACCAGTATAGAGACACAGTCTGCTTGTGTAGGTGAGACATGCTACCTGTATTGAGACACAGTCTGCTTGTTTAGGTGAGACATGCTCCCTGTATTGAGACACAGTCTGCTTGTGTAGGTGAGACATACCTACCTGTATTGAGACACAGTCCGCTGGTGTAGGTGAGACATGGTACCTGTATAGAGACACAGTCTGCTTGTGTAGGTGAGACATGCTACCTGTATTGAGACACAGTCTGCTTGTGTAGTTGAGACATGCTACCTGTATTGAGACACAGTCTGCTGGTGTAGGTGAGACATTCTACCTGTATTGAGACACAGTCCGCTGGTGTAGGTGAGACATGCAACCTGTATTGAGACACAGTCTGCTTGTGTAGTTGAGACATGCTACCTGTATTGAGACACAGTCTGCTTGTGTAGGTGAGACATGCTACCTGTATTGAGACACAGTCTGCTTGTGTAGGTGAGACATGCTACCTGTATAGAGACACAGTCTGCTGGTGTAGGTGAGACATGCTACCTGTATTGAGACACAGTCTGCTGGTGTAGGTGAGACATGCTACCTGTATTGAGACACAGTCCGCTGGTGTAGGTGAGACATGCTACCTGTATTGAGACAGAGTCTGCTTGTGTAGGTGAGACATGCTACCTGTATTGAGACACAGTCTGCTTGTGTAGGTGAGACATGCTACCTGTATTGAGACACAGTCTGCTTGTGTAGGTGAGACATGCTACCTGTATAGAGACACAGTCTGCTTGTGTAGTTGAGACATGCTACCTGTATTGAGACACAGTCTGCTGGTTTAGGTGAGACATGCTCCCTGTATTGAGACACAGTCTGCTTGTGTAGGTGAGACATGCTACCTGTATTGAGACACAGTCTGCTGGTTTAGGTGAGACATGCTCCCTGTATTGAGACACAGTCTGCTTGTGTAGGTGAGACATACCTACCTGTATTGAGACACAGTCTGCTGGTGTAGGTGAGACATGCTACCTGTATAGAGACACAGTCTGCTGGTGTAGGTGAGACATGCTACCAGTATAGAGACACAGTCTGCTTGTGTAGGTGAGACATGCTACCTGTATTGAGACACAGTCTGCTTGTTTAGGTGAGACATGCTCCCTGTATTGAGACACAGTCTGCTTGTGTAGGTGAGACATACCTACCTGTATTGAGACACAGTCCGCTGGTGTAGGTGAGACATGGTACCTGTATAGAGACACAGTCTGCTGGTGTAGGTGAGACATGCTCCCTTTATTGAGACACAGTCTGCTTGTGTAGGTGAGACATGCTACCTGTATAGAGACATAGTCTGCTTGTGTAGGTGAGACATGCTACCTGTATTGAGAAACAGTCTGCTTGTGTAGGTGAGACATGCTACCTGTATTGAGAGACACAGTCCGCTGGTGTAGGTGAAACAGAAGTCCCATGCTCCTTGTACATTTAATGAACCTGATGAACTTTACCTGAAAAGAATGTCTGAGGCTCCACAAGTCGCTGTGCATGTTGCGTCCCATGGCTTGTGGACTCCAGCCCAGATTGTCCCTGCTTCTGCCTCTAGGTTAGAGGCTTCCCTCCCACTACCAAGGACGTGGAATGAACACTCACTAACAAGCCCTTTGGTAGTGGATGTTACATCCCATTGTGACAATTATGTACCCTTTGAAGACATAAGGAAAAATGACTATCCATCAGTTGCAGCAGCAGTTGGCCTCAAGATGAACATTACTGACTGTCATGTTTTCTTTCAGTCCTGAGAAGAAGCCCTTGCTTGATGAGATGACAACTAATGCCAAGTGAGTGTACTCATATCACATAGAGCAGGTACTTCCTCTATATAGGAGACATCGGGGAAGCTGCAATGTAGATGACAAATATTGTGTCACAATATTAATGCAATAACCTGTCACTATGATACTCAGGAATAACCTAAGTATGATATGTTCTCTTCGTGTATTAGTATATATCATGATAAGTCACAGGTGCAGGGGTGGCCTAGCCGTCAGAGTACTGCGGCTAGTTGTGTAGATTTGTGTCACTTGTGGGCAGGGGTGGCCAAGCCGTCAGAGTACTGCGGCTAGTTGTGTAGATTTGTGTCACTTGTGGGCAGGGGTGGCCAAGCCGTCAGAGTACTGCGGCTAGTTGTGTAGATTTGTGTCACTTGTAGGCAGGGGTGGCCTAGCCGTCAGAAGTACTGCAGCTAGTTGTGTAGATTTGCGTCACTTGTAGGCAGGGGTGGCCTAGCCGTCAGAGGTACTGCAGCTAGTTGTGTAGATTTGCGTCACTTGTAGGCAGGGGTGGCCAAGCCGTCAGAGTACTGCGGCTAGTCGTGTAGATTTGTGTCACTTGTAGGCAGGGGTGGCCTAGCCGTCAGAGTACTGCGGCTAGTTGTGTAGATTTGTGTCACTTGTAGGCAGGGGTGGCATAGCCGTCAGAGGTACTGCAGCTAGTTGTGTAGATTTGTGTCACTTGTAGGCAGGGGTGGCATAGCCGTCAGAGGTACTGCAGCTAGTTGTGTAGATTTGTGTCACTTGTGGGCAGGGGTGGCCAAGCCATCAGAGGTACTGCAGTTAGCGGTGTAGATTTGTGTCACTTGTAGGCAGGGGTGGCATAGCCGTCAGAGGAACAGCAGCTAGTTGTGTAGATTTGTGTCACTTGTAGGCAGGGGTGGCATAGCCGTCAGAGGTACTGCAGCTAGTTGTGTAGATTTGTGTCACTTGTGGGCAGGGGTGGCCAAGCCATCAGAGGTACTGCAGTTAGCGATGTAGATTTGTGTCACTTGTAGGCAGGGGTGGCATAGCCGTCAGAGGTACTGCAGCTAGTTGTGTAGATTTGTGTCACTTGTAGGCAGGGGTGGCCTAGCCGTCAGAGTACTGCGGCTAGTTGTGTAGATTTGTGTCACTTGTGGGCAGGGGTGGCATAGCCGTCAGAGGTACTGCAGCTAGTTGTGTAGATTTGTGTCACTTGTAGGCAGGGGTGGCCAAGCCGTCAGAAGTACTGCAGCTAGTTGTCTAGATTTGTGTCACTTGTGGGCAGGGGTGGCCAAGCCGTCAGAAGTACTGCAGTTAGCGGTGTAGATTTGTGTCACTTTTGGGCAGGGGTGGCCAAGCCATCACAGGGGCTGCAGTTACCGGTGTAGATTTGTGTCACTTGTGGGCAGGGGTGGCCAAGCCGTCAGAGGTACTGCAGCTAGTTGTGTAGATTTGCGTCACTTGTAGGCAGGGGTGGCCAAGCCGTCAGAGTACTGCGGCTAGTTGTGTAGATTTGTGTCACTTGTAGGCAGGGGTGGCCTAGCCGTCAGAGTACTGCAGCTAGTTGTGTAGATTTGTGTCACTTGTAGGCAGGTGTGGCCTAGCCGTCAAAGTACTGCGGCTAGTTGTGTAGATTTGTGTCACTTGTAGGCAGGGGTGGCCTAGCCGTCAGAGTACTGCGGCTAGTTGTGTAGATTTGTGTCACTTGTGGGCAGGGGTGGCCTATCCGTCAGAAGTACTGCAGCTAGTTGTGTAGATTTGTGTCACTTGAAGGCAGGGGTGGCATAGCCGTCAGAGGTACTGCAGCTAGTTGTGTAGATTTGTGTCACTTGTGGGCAGGGGTGGCCAAGCCATCAGAGGTACTGCAGTTAGCGGTGTAGATTTGTGTCACTTGTAGGCAGGGGTGGCATAGCCGTCAAAGGTACTGCAGCTAGTTGTGTAGATTTGTGTCACTTGTAGGCAGGGGTGGCCAAGCCGTCAGAAGTACTGCAGCTAGTTGTGTAGATTTGTGTCACTTGTGGGCAGGGGTGGCCAAGCCGTCAGAAGTACTGCAGTTAGCGGTGTAGATTTGTGTCACTTGTGGGCAGGGGTGGCCAAGCCGTCAGAAGTACTGCAGCTAGTTGTGTAGATTTGCGTCACTTGTAGGCAGGGGTGGCCAAGCCATCAGAGGTACTGCAGTTAGCGGTGTAGATTTGTGTCACTTGTAGGCAGGGGTGGCCAAGCCGTCACAGGTACTGCAGTTAGCGGTGTAGATTTGTGTCACTTGTAGGCAGGGGTGGCCAAGCTGTCAGAGGTACTGCAGCTAGTTGTGTAGATTTGTGTCACTTGTGGGCAGGGGTGGCCAAGCCGTCAGAGGTACTGCAGCTAGTTGTGTAGATTTGTGTCACTTGTAGGCAGGGGTGGCATAGCCGTCAGAAGTACTGCAGTTAGCGGTGTAGATTTGTGTCACTTGTAGGCAGGGGTGGCCAAGCCATCACAGGGGCTGCAGTTAGCGGTGTAGATTTGTGTCACTTGTGGGCAGGGGTGGCCAAGCCGTCAGAAGTACTGCAGCTAGTTGTGTAGATTTGCGTCACTTGTAGGCAGGGGTGGCCAAGCCATCAGAGGTACTGCAGTTAGCGGTGTAGATTTGTGTCACTTGTAGGCAGGGGTGGCCAAGCTGTCGGAGGTACTGCAGCTAGTTGTGTAGATTTGTGTCACTTGTGGGCAGGGGTGGCCAAGCCGTCAGAAGTACTGCAGCTAGTTGTGTAGATTTGTGTCACTTGTAGGCAGGGGTGGCATAGCCGTCAGAGGTACTGCAGCTAGTTGTGTAGATTTGTGTCACTTGTGGGCAGGGGTGGCCAAGCCATCAGAGGTACTGCAGTTAGCGGTGTAGATTTGTGTCACTTGTAGGCAGGGGTGGCATAGCCGTCAGAGGTACTGCAGCTAGTTGTGTAGATTTGTGTCACTTGTAGGCAGGGGTGGCCAAGCCGTCAGAGGTACTGCAGTTAGCGGTGTAGATTTGTGTCACTTGTGGGCAGGGGTGGCCAAGCCATCACAGGGGCTGCAGTTAGCGGTGTAGATTTGTGTCACTTGTGGGCAGGGGTGGCCAAGCCGTCAGAAGTACTGCAGCTAGTTGTGTAGATTTGTGTCACTTGTTGCCAGGGGTGGCATAGCCGTCACAGGGGCTGCAGCTAGTTGTGTAGATTTGTGTCACTTGTAGGCAGGGATGGCCAAGCCATCAGAGGTACTGCAGTTAGCGGTGTAGATTTGTGTCACTTGTAGGAAGGGTGGCATAGCCGTCAGAAGTACTGCAGCTAGTTGTGTAGATTTGTGTCACTTGTAGGCAGGGGTGGCATAGCCGTCACAGGGGCTGCAGCTAGTTGTGTAGATTTGTGTCAATTGTGGGCAGGGGTGGCCAAGCCATCAGAGGTACTGCAGTTAGCGGTGTAGATTTGTGTCGCTTGGGGCAGGGGTGGCATAGCCGTCACAGGGGCTGCAGTTAGCGGTGTAGATTTGTGTCACTTGTGGGCAGGGGTGGCCAAGCCGTCAGAAGTACTGCAGCTAGTTGTGTAGATTTGTGTCACTTGTGGGCAGGGGTGGCCAAGCCGTCAGAAGTACTGCAGCTAGTTGTGTAGATTTGTGTCACTTGTTGGCAGGGGTGGCCAAGCCATCAGAGGTACTGCAGTTAGCGGTGTAGATTTGTGTCACTTGTAGGCAGGGGTGGCCAAGCCGTCAGAAGTACTGCAGCTAGTTGTGTAGATTTGTGTCACTTGTAGGCAGGGGTGGCATAGCCGTCAGAGGTACTGCAGCTAGTTGTGTAGATTTGTGTCACTTGTAGGCAGGGGTGGCATAGCCGTCACAGGGGCTGCAGCTAGTTGTGTAGATTTGTGTCAATTGTGGGCAGGGGTGGCCAAGCTATCAGAGGTACTGCAGTTAGCGGTGTAGATTTGTGTCACTTGTAGGCAGGGGTGGCCAAGCCGTCAGAGGTACTGCAGCTAGTTGTGTAGATTTGTGTCACTTGTAGGCAGGGGTGGCTCAAAAGCTTGTCAGATACAACTATTCACTCGTTTCATAATGTCACTAGACATGATTATTTATTAATTCAGTTGTATTTTGATTGTACAGTAAAACTAGATATTTAATTTGAAAGTGTCTAAAAGTCCTTCAGACACTGGGAACCTATTTTTCACCATGCCATTACCATTTTACCTGTGCCATTGGCCCCTTAACACAAGCAATTGTTTATGCCTGCCTTGTATTTTTGATGGCTAGACAACAAATGCACCAAAAGAAATAAGTGCTTGTCTTAAATTATTGCCTGGTCTGATTTAAAGTAGAATGGAAATGCTTACCTAAGAATCCCTTTCAAAACTTCAGATGCTAGACAAACACCCCTGATAAATAAAGCACCTGCCCCAGGGATCTAAAGACTTTCCCAGACAAAAGACTCTCAGCACTGATTCAGGGGTTTCTGCCATCTGGATTTACAGGAATATAGGTCCCCAGCAACCTAGGTTTGTCGCAAGAGTCGACTTAATAGATCGGGTTGTCAGGCGTGTCATATCCCACTTGCGTGGGTCGATCCATGCTGATGATGTCAGTCACTGGATTGTCTGGTCCAGACTATTTACAGGCTGTCATCATATGCTGAAATATTGCTGAAACATTGCTGAAATATTGCTGAGTGCGACATTAAACAACAAACTAGTCAGGGATTTACCTTATTATTTTTTTAGATAAGCTCATTGTGAGAAATGATTTGATAAAGCTGACTTCACTGTTTTGTAGTTCCCATGTGACTGTTGAGAATGAAACAGACATGAAAAAGGAGCTGGAACCTGAAGACAAAGAAGGCGCCATCAAACCCCAAGTCAAAGGGCCTGCCACCACTGGGGTCAAACCCCAAGACAAAGGGCCTGCCATTCTTGAGGTCAAACCTCAAGATGAAGGTGCTGCCAGTACTGGGGTCAAACCTCAAGATGAAGGTGCTGCCATTACTGGAGTCAAACCTCAAGACGAAGGTGCTGCCATCCTTGATGTCAAGTCCGAAAACAAAGAGGCTCCGTAGTTACTAGGACAAGATAAATAATCTTGCTGGTAAATATTCATCTACCGTGACTTCATGGAATAGGGGTTCGGATTTAGGAATCCAACTGAGGATAGATAAACTTGTTTGTAAATATTCATTAACTTTGACCTAGGAAAGAGTGGTTTGATTTTATGAAACCAAATTAGGATTTGGTTAATTAATATATTTTTGCGGGTAACTGATTACATATGACTTTTTATTATTGACGTGTTTTTGACAATAATTCTTCTGGACCTAATTCTTGGAGGAAAATCCATGTCAACTTTTGAAAATGGATATATAGAAAATATTGAACAAATACAGTCATTCTGCAACACTAACTCAACACAGTCTTCATGGATGTATGTTATTATGTTGTTTGGAAACATCTAGACAGTGTGGTTCAGTGGAGCTAGTCCACAGATAACACAGGGAAAGTTGGACGGAGGGAGTCATGTCCGTTATGTGATTTTTAATTTCTTTGAAATTGTTATATGTGAGTTACATGAAATGAAAGAAAACGAAATGCTGCAACAATACTGGTTACAATAAATTTGTCCAAAAATAATGGTTCCAATAATATCCCTTTTGACATAATACTTTTTTGTAAAACATTTATTTTTGGTAGATGTTTCATGAAGTTGTTTATTGTATCATGTAGAAACAAACCATATCAAATATTACAAATTTGCTGGTCCGAGGTTGTAAGAAACCGTTTCTTTTGTGGCAAAACTCCACACCCTAGTTTAACGTCACCTACGTGAAGTATGACCATGTGTTAATCGTTATTCTCCCAGGATAAAATTGAATGTAAACTCTTTTGTGTTTTCGGGATATGGTGGAAGGAGCATGGACTAGTAGATTCCATGGTTTTGAGTGGGTTGTTATTTTAAATTAAGGAAATCCTCGTTCAAGCCGTCAGAAGAAGTATGGTGCAGACCCAAGCACTGTTTTTAGCTCACCTGACTGTGAGCATATGTTGTGTATCCCCTGTCTGTCTGTCTGTCTGTCTGTCTCAGTCATTAAACGTTTCATTCTGTATTTCAGGCAGGAGGCTGACGTGTGGTAAGAAGATAAACGCCACCATCTGGGAGGTCTCTTTCACATCCGGGGGAGGGGTCAGCCTCTTGTGGACTGGTTCCAACTGTCTGTTGCATGTAGACAGTTGCCCAGTTTTCTAACAGACACAAGCAGTCAGCTATTACTGTTTAAGTGGAATCATTTTGATACTTTTAGCCTCTATTTTGGTTTTAGTTGACATTGTTTTTACAAATGAGGTTCTGTGCCATACAGAGTTATATAGACAGAAGATATTCATCCTCCTGAGGCAAGGGAGATAACTGACTTTAAAAGCCTAGTTTCCACCCCTTCCCGAACTAGGCTGGAATTATGGAGTTATATTTCGACTGGACTAATGAGTCTATGCATTGGCCAATCAAAATCCTGTCACAAAATTGACATCAAACAACATGGCAACAGCCCTGCCGAAAGCATTCAATTGCAGGATTGGCGGAGAGTGTGTACAGTCAACTCGGTGTCGACAGATATTTTCAAAATTGTTTCATTTTTTTAATTAAGGTGCTCATGTGATTTGAGACCCTTAGCAAGTTAAAACCTGTTTTATTGCAATAAAGATCTTTGTTATCGATGGTATTGTCTTGACTGGGCGCCGCGATTTTGCTCGGCAAATGCAAGTGATATGAGAAGTGAAATCTGATTGGTCAGTAGGGAAGAGATAGACGGGACATAACTCATAATAGCCTTTAGTGGCGCTACGATCGAGCCCAGAAATGTCGGCCTAGTTCAGAAAGGAGGGAAACTGGACTTTTGAAGTCAGTTATCTCCCTTGCCTCGGGAAACTTTGAGATATAATACACTGGAGAGCATAGGATGCAGTTTCAAGACTTACTGCCTTTTTTGTGATAAACAGTTTCACCTGTTATCCCAGATATTCGTATAGCAAGGTCAATGAAAGCCCTTCCTCGTTGTTTAGGAATATTTGTTGACATATCTCAACCCCATGTAGCAAACACTTTCAAGTTCCTCACTGCCTTAAAATTATTGTCCTTTTTCTTTTCAAAATAATTTTTCAGTTGATATGATTACATATTTTGTATTTTTCACCAAGCTACAGCCAAAATACATTTCATTGACCTTGAGGTTTCAGACTGAAGTGTTTCCCACCATTGTTATTTTGATTTTGAATGATTCATCTGCCTATGTGCTGTCTTGTGTCAATGGAGGGACTTGTAATTAGTCATGTTCTGGACATTGTCAATAACCATGTCCTTACAAAGATGGCTGCCTTACTAGAATAGTGTATCTCAGTATGAAGACAGCTTCAATTAGGGGATAAACATACGGTGTTTTCACTGTAGAGCTAGGTTACCTGTAGATTTAGCCACACTGAATTGGATTTGGAACGGAATGCGCCGTCCAGTCAACTGTTTCAATCAAAGGGGGTTTATTGTTATTTGATACCCCTGTTTGACTATTGAGTATTTTTCATATTAAAGGTAGAATATATGTTCACAGCTCTTTTTATTTAGCAGCTCTGTGAAAACAGATTGATGCTCATCATGCTCATGATGTTAATCACTGGATTGTCTGGTCCAGATTCGATTATTTACAGACCACCGTCACATAGCTGGAATATTGCTGAGTGTGGCGTTAAACAACAAACAAACAAACAAACCATAAAGTAGATATAATGGAAGTCAGGATTCAGCTAACAGTGGTGTTCAGTTGGATTAAAGGGCGGTGGGGTACCTAGTGGTTTAAGTGTTCACACGTTACGTCGAAGGCCTGGGTTTGATTCCCCACATGGGTAGAATGTGTGAAGCCTATTTCTTGTGTCCCCTGCCATAATTGTTGAAATACTGCTACAGTGGCATAAAATCATACTCACTCACTCAGCTGGAATATTTGATAAAAGGAAGTCTTCGGGACAGCTCCTGAATATAACATGCCTCACGGAGACGTGTTGAGGCTCTCCATAATATTATTTAATGTTAGGAATAATGGTTTGTATGAGGTTAAGGAAAGATGTTTGTGATACATTGGTGCTTTCTGAGTGCACATTATTATGTCAAAGTTCTTTCTTTATGATGAATCCTTAAATTTGAGTGATATAGTTCCTTAAATTAAAGAACCAGTTTCCTGCTGTGTCATGGACTGACCATTATATATTGGAGGGAGACGATGTTCAACCTGTTCAATAAAAGTATTATTTTGTAAATGTTATGACAGTTACATTTTTAGAATGAGACACTGTGACAAAATATTTGGTACATTAGCCATTCCTCTCATCTGGCTATGTTTTAGTGATCACAGAATTGTGGTTAAATGAATTTGGGAATTGCTGTTTCAATGTCCTCCGCCCGAAAAGATACAGTGGTCTGCCTCTGAATATAATCTTATGCATGTCAGAGAGTCAGTCTTACTGTTTTTAATCGATCTGATGACAGGTCAGTGAGATATATATGTATTATTATGTGATCGTTGAATATCCACATGTTGTCAGTTGATGTCACGTTTGATGTTGTTGCTAACTAGAAAACATCTTGTAAGTGGGATCATACTTTCAACTTCCTCCAATACACATATTGAGTTAATTAATTAATCAGCGTCAGATGTGATTAGTAGGGGTGTGGAAATATTAAAATTCTGAACTTTTTACCAAAAGGAATTTGGGAAGGTGGAAGTGATACTAGTTCAAGACCGATGTTGAAAAAGGTGCTTTTGACAAGATTGTTTGTGACTTTAGTGTTGATGATGATGATGATGATGATGATGATGATCCTATTGATAGATTGTTGACATTGTTTTGCAATTTCAAACTTGATGTTTGTAATTTATGATGCATAATTAATATTTCATATCTAGATGTTTTTTTATGTCGCTTGCGTATTTTAATGACCTCTCCCACGTTTCTGCGGGTTCATATGGGAGACTACCAGGCTGACACTGGGTTGAAGGGCACACACTATTTGTGTGCTGCATTCAGACTACACAGCATGTGTAGGCATTCACTCACACAAAAAGAATGATGGCTCTTTCTTTAAGGCACATAATCCTTTAATGACACTTTTTAAATTGGATTAAGGCTTGGAGTAAAAGATTTGATTATCTTGATATTTGCATTAAGTTGAGTTTTCTGTTAAATGTCTGTTGATGGTTCTTTGAGATAGATTCATTCTAGTCACTGCTTTAAGATATACATTTTTCACCCTGAAAACAAGAGCCAAACAATTCTTTATTGACATTATTTTACACAAAATGCAGAATGCTCAGTGAACAAGTGTTTTGTTGTAAAACAAAGTATTTTTTCCAGGATTTTCGGGAGGAGAGTTAATTTTTCAAAAGAATCTCAGACATTTATGTGAAACAAACTTAAGCTTTTTATCATATCAAAATTATTGTATTTCACGGAAAAAGTGTATTATGATCATTGTTCCTTTTTTGTGGTGAACAATGCCTTGTGGTATGTATCGGACAAGAGCTTGGTAATTTCAGCCTTAGTGATGAAGATGAAGTGAGCTGTGTGTTAAAAGCTGCAACGTTTTACCATCAGTATTGTGTGAGTTCCCAACGGAATGTTTTCTCATCAGCATTTATTGTACATGTGCACATGTTAAGTTTTCATTCTTTTGTAGTCAATTTTCAATTTGTTCAACAAGATCATGTCTTCTATTCCAAGTAGAAAACTGGTGTTTGGTATCTTGAATATTTTAATTCAAATCACTGCTTACTGTTGCTCTTTTTCATTATTTTGTTAAGTATTTACAATTGTCACATTTAAATGCAATGCTCACTTGTAATTAGCTCCAAGCATGCAATGAGATTGTTTTGCTCAGTGACAAGTCTACAACAAACAGTTCATAAGATGTTCAAGGATGATGGATGAAGAAATGTATTTATGATTCTTCACCTGCTGGAGCCTGCCTCTGAGAGGAGGTTGGTTTGTGTGATACAGTTGAATAGTTGTGTTCATACTTAAAGGAACTGGACTGGGGTGAACTAAATTAGTTCATGTGTTATGGTTCTCTATGTTTTATTTCATATGTTTCGAGGGCGCCTATACTGTGTCTCACCTTGGAGGAAAAGTTAGCGATATGTGCAAAGTAGATGTTACTCTGAAAACATTTAAAAGGAAAACTAGTATATTTTGGATAGACATCCCTGGAAGCTGGTTGCCCTGTTGTGTCATCATACCCAGACCATATTGATTGCATTGTCACAATGGCTGGTCCTCGGTTGACATGCTGTCTCACCATGGGGGGTGAGGGTCGGAGTAGGTCCCCAGCCATATGTTGCCAGGCTTTCTCCATGGGGGTGAGGGTCGGAGTAGGTCCCCAGCCATATGTTGCCAGGCTCTCTCCATGGGGGTGAGGGTCGGAGTACGTCCCCAGTCACATGTTGCCGGGCTCTCTCCATGCTGGTTGAGGGTCGGAGTAGGTCCCCAGCCACATGTTGCCAGGCTCTCTCCATGGGGGGTGAGGGTCGGAGTACGTCCCCAGCCATATGTTGCCAGGCTCTCTCCATGCTGGTTGAGGGTCGGAGTAGGTCCCCAGTCACATGTTGCCGGGCTCTCTCCATGCTGGTTGAGGGTCGGAGTAGGTCCCCAGCCATATGTTGCCGGGCTCTCTCCATGCTGGTTGAGGGTCGGAGTAGGTCCCCAGCCATATGTTGCCAGGCTCTCTCCATGCTGGTTGAGGGTCGGAGTAGGTCCCCAGCCATATGTTGCCAGGCTCTCTCCATGGGGGGTGAGGGTCGGAGTAGGTCCCCAGCCATATGTTGCCAGGCTCTCTCCATGGGGGTGAGGGTCGGAGTACGTCCCCAGTCACATGTTGCCGGGCTCTCTCCATGCTGGTTGAGGGTCGGAGTAGGTCCCCAGCCACATGTTGCCAGGCTCTCTCCATGGGGGGTGAGGGTCGGAGTAGGTCCCCAGCCACATGTTGCCGGGCTCTCTCCATGTGGGGTGAGGGTCGGAGTAGGTCCCCAGCCACATGTTGCCAGGCTTATGCCGTAGTGGGTGACCTCCCTGTTTATCATACAGTGCCAAATGACTTGCATCCATGTGTATTCCATTCACCCGCCCCCTATTACCGACCCTACTCGAGTACCTGCTGTAGGCCTTATGAGATGGGTACAAATTGTCTTACCGGTATTGAGAATTGTTTGAACCGAGCCCTGGCAAAAGTATCATGCACGTATAAAACGATCTGGTGACATATACACTGAAGTTGACTGAAGCTTTATCTTTATTCAAACAAATAAAAGTCAGAAGAAATGTGTGCTTTGTCAGAAAGAAATGTGAACATTAGTGACTTGTGGTTTAACCATGGAGTTCTTGATTATTTTTGTCATTGAACAATATATCACATGACGATCCACGGGTCCAGGTAGTAATGCAGGTACCCGGTTCCTACTCAGTATCCACCCGACCTGAGTACCCAAGTTACCCATCTCAGCCCTAATTGTCATGTGTAGGAGGCACATTGGGAAACCCCTTCTAAATTTATTAGGAATGTTAGTTTATAGTTATTGAGAACAAAGGCATCATATTGATGTGAGGAGCTTCAAGCAAGTTCAAGCTGGGATATCTCATTTGCATATTTACCACCTCATGGTACCAAGGTTCTGGGATTGGTTTGCTGTCTCTGGAACACAAGCCTTTATATGATCAACCCATTTCAGACAAGGCAGAAACATTTCAGCAATGCTCAGTGGACAGTACATGGGCTTGATTTGCTAAATAAGAATGGCCATATTCAGTGCTGGCCGTGTTAACATGCTGTATTCAGTGCTTTTGTTCATATTTTCTCGTGTTTGTATATTTGCTTTTTTTAATGTGTTTTTTACTGCTATCTCATGACAACTTTCTTGTAAGGAACATTGATTGTGCATGAATTTCATGTCATGTTCTCCTGATCAGTATTAGTTTTGCATGTGCCATAGTGAGGTTTTTATCTACATTGTTTACGGAAAATTTCTTTCAAAATCACAAGTAAACTAAAACAAAAATGTCTTTTTGGTCACTTAAAATCTTTAGGTAGGGTGAATTAAGACAATTACCCCTATAAGCTACTTGAGTTTTCCTTGAATTTTTACTTCAAGAGTTACCTCCCTTCCCATGATGCTACTTTAGATTTCTCATTGATATTTTGTGAACAGATTCAGAATATAATCAGATATTCTATATTGTAGAGCGTAGACAAAGTAGTGTTAAAACACTGTCCTAAATATTGACCCAAACTACCAACCAATTGTTTTTTAATGATGAAGAAAGGTCTCTTGGTTGAGAATACCATCAGCTCTGTAGTGCTAGGATTGAGAAGGAAACTCCAGATATTTAAATCTGCAGGGGATGTTCGTACACGATGCAGTGTTATGTAATTGCAATTTGATACCTCTGGTTAACCCAACAATTTTAATCATAATACAAGCTCATCATCCATAGCTGTCTACTCCAAATGTTGTTATGAGTGAGATCTATATTAGCCAGGGTCCAGGGCCAAGCCTTGGTGGGGGGGTCTAAGCAGGCGAACCCCGGAAACGAAAAGGATATGAACTATCTTGCCCAGGATTTTGAGCCCTCTGGTTGAAAGTATTTTGGTATATTGTCTAAAAAGAGATGAGAAAGAATGACAAAAGCTCAAGTACCATCGGTGATGTATGTATTGCAGACTATTTTGTCCTGTACTACAAATATTATTCTTTCTTACAGTGCATGTTACTTGCAGTGTCAAGATATTTGATGATAAAACTTTAACTTTACTAATGTAGACCAATGACATTTACAGTCATGAAGTGTGTCTCACGGCAAGTGTGTGAGAGTTGACAGGTATTCATCCCAGAGTCTTTTTCGGATACCTCATCATAATGTAGGTATTCCAGCTATCACAATGATATAATATGTCAAATACTAACAACTGGTCCAGCAGGTTAACTGTTTTAAACAACCCCATATTGACTTAAACCACCACCTGTAGTTATATAAGAGGTGTCGCCGGTGGCCTAGTGGGCTAAGTGCTCCAGTTTGTTACATTCCTCACTTGCCGGGGTGTGCCGTTCTGGGTTTGTAGCCCAGTTTCACCTGTTTACAATCCTTGGTTTGTCCACGCCATGCCCATTTTTGTGCATTTCAGCCAAATCTAAGTTTCCAAGACCTGGTCCACTTTTGTTTACTTCACATTCCCAAGAAGCCGATAAAATTGAAATAATGTTAATAGCAGTGAATCCATTCATCCAGACTACAGATATAGAGAATCTCTCCGGGTGTCTGTTGATATCAAATAGATCAACAGGTGTCAAAAAAAGTTAAAACTGCACGGCTTGCTGACGACTTTATAAACTTTTCCGACAAGTGTTGATATATTTGATGTCAAAAGACACTCTGTGAGATTTTATCTGAGCCCTGCTATTTATTGTCCAACATCATACTGTCAGCTTCAATTGACAGGTATTGTTGTTGCTTTTCAATGCTTTATTAATTGACCATTCAGATTTGACGTAAGTGACCAATCAGATTTGACCTAGGTGACCAATTAGATTAATTTGGTTCATAACACGTAATGCTTTTAACCTACAGGTGGAGGAGTGGTACAAAGTAGAACAGATCAAACTATATTTCAGTCACGACAACATGTCCATGTTTACGAAAGTAAATAAAATGGCAACATTTTGAAAGATTGCTTTGGATGATAAAGAGCATAACAAGTAGCTCTGCTGATGTTAGTTTTGCTGAGGGCAATTTTACATCACAAACAAAGTTTGTGTAGTTCTCTATATAGTTTTATACCAAAGACAAATGAGTGGCATATATATATTGTCATCCAATTGCAGCCTATGAGAAATCGGACACCCCGTCTACTTGTTTTGGTGGACAGGACCCCGGTCAGCAATCCTATTTTACCAACTGGTCCCACATTTTGGAAATGCAGTCAAAACAGTTTCTGCTCAGACAATGAATGTTGGATAATTTGGTGCTTGGTATCAGTGTGTTTATTTCAGTCTTTTGTATGTTGCAAATTTCATTGTGTTCTAAAGGCCAAATTTAGTCTCTCATCTTGATATTTCTGGCTAAAAATGAATCCTATAACCATAAGAGTAGTTTTGTAACCAACTAATTGTTGTTGTTTTTTAAAGATATTAAGTTTGACAATTAATAGTTGTTAGTCAAAGAGTTTGAAGCAGGTATATCGAGTTTTCTCCTTTTTTTTAGATGATATAATTTTCTTGCAGTTGTCTTGACAATACTTCTCTGCTTGTCCCTATTCATTCATTTCCCATCATTGTTTACCCAGGAATGAATAATTGAGGTTTTCAGCATGACGTGCTTTTCATAATAATCTCTAGTGGCGTACACCATGTCGTCATATTTCCCAAAGTATAAATCCCAGTTTGGCAATTTAGAAAAAGGAAATGATTTGATTACATCATGCGTAGTTGTACCTGCTGTAGGTTATGTACTGCTGCCAACTATATGAAAGTGCTGTATTTATCAAAAATAAACTTAAAATACTGGACATTTGAAGAAAGATGTCTTATGTCAATGGCAAGCTGTGTATATTTCCAGCAGACGTCAACTTGATCAGGTACTTGGATGAGGAGTACGGTAGGTTCCTTTCCTCAAGCTTGCTGTGCACCATCTTCCCGAGGCAATTTAATCATGTATGCTCTTATTGTTGCTCTTAATCCTCTACTGTTAATCCTCCACCTACTATATATATTCTGTACAATGTCCCTCATTCAGTCTTGCTTGACAACGGTATGAGGATCTATACCAAAACGTCGCTTTTTACAATATTTAAGAAGTTATTATCCCTAAATTATGTGTACTTTGGCAAGAGTGTCCACAAGCCTACTTATCAAAGTCTAGTTTCCACCCTTGCCACACCAAGCCAACTTTCCTGTGCTAAGTATGATTGCACTATCCCACATATTGATAGTCCAATCAGAGGACATTTCATAAATTCAACATCCGGGTTCCGAAAACATGGCTGCTGACATATAGCTTGTTGAATTTGCCTTGAAGCTCTTTCAACGATTAAGCAAAGACAAGTGTTTCCAAGTTTTAAATCAGTTCACCCATGTACTGTGCTTGTAAGTGCTGCGATGATGAGAACAGTCATTAAACACAACTGGTATAGATTCGTTTGAAAGTGATTTATTGCTGCCTGTCTTTGTTGACACTAATATTTTTTTTCCATCTGTTTGTCTCTCGGGGGCACGGGTGGCCCAGTTGTCTAAGGCGCTGCGATTCGCTGTGCAGAGTTGCGTCCCTTGGCACGCCAGAAACCTATGATTGTGGGTTCGGATCCCGGTTCTCCCCGATTATGTTTCTAGGTTTGTCACCACCATACCCGTGCTCGTGGGTTTCACCGAAGTGTCAAACGTCTGAGACCTGCATCACTTCGGGCTTTCCTCCAACATTAAGCTGACACGCCGTGATATAACTGGAATACTGTTAAAAGCGGCGTTAAACCCAATGCTTGTTATCAAAGCGACCTGGTCATTGTCTGTTGTAGTCGCGATCATTGTGAAGCCACACGAGTTAAGAATAGCGATCTGATTGGAAGTCTCACATTCATTCGAGATCTTCGTGAGGTAATGCCATGATTGAGCCAAGAAAGTAAGGCAAGGGTAGAAACTAAGCTTTGATATAGGATACTGGACATGCTTTCCTCTAGTCACGACACAGGTTGGTCACAACACATGTTGGTCACGACACAGGTTGGTCACGACACAGGTTGACAAAGGTTGGTCACGACACAGGTTGGTCACGACACAGGTTGGTCACGACACAGGTTGACAAAAGTTGGTCACGACACAGGTTGAAAATTATATTCTTGTCACAGAACTGCCGTTTTATTTTTTTTCGCACAAGTGATCAAATTTTGTTCAAACATTGATGAAACTAAAACATTTTGGATAATAGTTACAAGGCAGTCAAGTCTCCTTTGGTATGAACTGTCATGTTAAAGTTGGTCAGAGGCTGCTTATGAAGATTACCTACTGATTTGGTGGAGAATTTGGTCAGCGGTCTTATTGGAATAGTATACTTTATATAGCAAATATAGTAGAGGATTCATTCAACAAACAAATTATTAGAATATCTAGACATAGATAGCAACTGGTGAAGTATTGAACATTACCCGTTTGGGTTAAAAGATCAACTGAAAAACTTTCCAATAAAATATTCACTTTAGTTGATCTAAAAAATACTGCATGGGCACGCCGAAAACCTGGATTTGATTCCCTACATGGGTACAGTGTGTACAGCCCATTTGTGGTGTCCTTGACATGATATTACTGGAATAGTGGCTTTGTTCAAAGTATGCCTCTGTTCACCAGCAGTGAATGGGTACCCGGTAGGATGAGATGGTAATGTGACTGTAAACCTTCTCGCGCCTCACCGACTGCTTGGATCGAATACTCCCCAGATGTTGAGTTCACACTGATCCCATGACTCGGGTAATAATGGTCATTCCTATTATGTTGGTTACGAAAACTAAGAGACTCAATTCAGCCGTTCCTTTACTTTTGTAAGAACTGTGAACCTTGGTTCACAAATTGTACAAGATCCTGGGTATTCAATGTCATGATGGTGAAATATGGCAAATCCAAGTAGGAACATTTCCAGCTAGTCCGGCAGATGACAACTATGTTTGCCTTGACCAACAGTGACATAACTAGCATTAGGTTAGCAGGCCAGCAGATTATTTCATAAACTGCATGGAAGATATATGAACATAAAAAACTTGGGCCAGTTTGCAATATTACTGTAACCTGTAGATGGTGTTTTTGTATTATGGCTTATACCATGTACTAGTATCCTAATTGAATGTGTTGTAATACCATATATATATGTATAATTAATATCATGTAACCCATTGATGATACTGGCCTTATGTTTTAATATGTATTGTGCTTTCTTTGGACCTGCTGTTTGTACAAGCTTTTTAATGCTCTGCTTCTAATAAAAAAGAAAAACCATCAGTCCAGAGTTGATTTTGTCTTACAGTTAGCCATGGTCTTGCTGCAGGGACTCTTGCTGATCCGGGAATAAGACAAGCTCACTCCGCTCTATCCCACTCCACTCCACTCATTTACACACCACACCACACCACACCACACCACACCACACCACACCACACACCACACTCATTAGACTTTCACTCACTCACTACTCACTCATCAGACTCAATCTCTCATTAGACTCACTCACGCATTAGACCATCACTCACTCATTAGACTCACTCACGCATTAGACCATCACTCACTCATTAGACTCACTCACTCATTAGGCTCACTCATGCATTAGGCTCACTCACGCATTAGACCATCACTCACTCCTTAGACTCACTCACTCATAAGGCTAAATCACGCATTAGGCTCACTCACGCATTAGACCATCACTCACTCATTAGACTCACTAACGCATTTGACCATCACTCACTCACTAGACTCACACAGACCATCACTCACTCATTAGACTCACTCACGCATTAGACCATCACTCACTCATTAGACTCACTCACGCATTAGACCATCACTCACTCCTTAGACTCACTCATTAGACTCACTCACTCATTGGACTCACTCACTCATTGGACTCACTCACTCATTGGACTCACTCAATCATTAGACTCACTCACTCATTGGACTCACTCACTCATTAGACTCACTCATTAGACCATCACTCACTCATTAGACCTTCACTCACTCATTAGACTCATTCATTAGACTCACTCACTCATTAGACAAATTCATTAGACTCACTCATTAGACTCACTCACTCATTAGACCACTCATTAGACTCACTCACTCATTAGACTCACTCACTCATTTGACTCACTCACTCATTAGACTCACTCACTCATTAGACTCACTCACTCATTGGACTCACTCACTCATTAGACTCACTCACTCATTAGACTCACTCACTCATTAGACTCACTCACTCATTAGACTCACTCACTCATTAGACTCACTCACTCATTTGACTCACTCACTCATTAGACTCACTCAGTCAGTAGACTCACTCACTTATTAGACTTACTCATTAGACTCACTTACTCATTAGACTCACTCAGTCAGTAGACTCACTCACTTATTAGACTTACTCATTAGACTCACTCACTCATTAGACTCACTCACTCATTAGACTCACTCACTCATTAGACTCACTCACTCATTTGACTCACTCACTCATTAGACTCACTCAGTCAGTAGACTCACTCACTTATTAGACTTACTCATTAGACTCACTCACTCATTAGACTCACTCACTCATTAGACTCACTCACTCATTAGACTCACTCACTCATTTGACTCACTCACTCATTAGACTCACTCAGTCAGTAGACTCACTCACTTATTAGACTTACTCATTAGACTCACTCACTCATTAGACTTACTCATTAGACTCACTTACTCATTAGACTCAGTCAGTAGACACACTCACTCATTAGACTCGCTCACTCATTAGACTCACTTACTCATTGGACTCACTTTGTCATTAGACTCACTCACTCATTAGACTCACTCACTCATTAGACTCACTCACTTATTAGACTCACTCACTCATTAGACTCACTTACTCACTCATTAGACTTTCTCATTAGACTCACTCATTACACTCAATCAATCATCAGACTCAATCACTCACTCACTAGACTCACTTACTAATTAGACTCAATTGACTTACTAGACTCACTCACTCATTACACTCATTAGATTCACTAGACTCATTCATTAGACTCACGCACTCATTAGACTCACTTGCTCATTAGACTCGCTCACTCATTATACTCTCACTCATTAGACTCACTCGTTAAGACCATCACTCCCTCATTAGACTCACTCACTCACTAGACTCATTAGACTCACTCATTACACTCACTCATTAGACTCACTCACTCATTACACTCACTCACTCATTAGACTCACTCACTCATTAGACCATCACTCACTTATTAGACTCACTCACTCATTAGACTCACTCACTCATTAGACTCACTCACTCACTAGACTCACTCATTAGACTCACTCATTAGACTCACTCACTCACTCATTAGACTCAGTTACTAATTAGACTCACTCATTAGACTCGTTCACTCATTAGACTCACACATTAGACCATCACTCACTCATTAGACTCACTCACGCATTAGACCATCACTCACTCCTTAGACTCACTCATTAGACTCACTCACTCATTGGACTCACTCACTCATTGGACTCACTCACTCATTGGACTCACTCAATCATTAGACTCACTCACTCATTGGTCTCACTCATAAGACTCACTCATTCATTAGACTCACTCACTCATTGGACTCACTCACTCATTGGACTCACTCAATCATTAGACTCACTCACTCATTGGACTCACTCATTAGACTCACTCATTAGACCATCACTCACTCATTAGACCTTCACTCACTCATTAGACTCATTCATTAGACTCACTCACTCATTAGACAAATTCATTAGACTCACTCATTAGACTCACTCACTCATTAGACCATCACTCATTAGACTCACTCACTCATTAGACTCACTCACTCATTTGACTCACTCACTCATTAGACTCACTCACTCATTAGACTCACTCATTAGACTCACTCATTAGACTCACTCAGTCAGTAGACTCACTCACTCATTAGACTCGCTCACTCATTAGACTCACTTACTCATTGGACTCACTTTGTCATTAGACTCACTCACTCATTAGACTCACTCACTCATTAGACTCACTCACTTATTAGACTCACTCACTCATTAGACTCACTTACTCACTCATTAGACTTACTCATTAGACTCACTCATTACACTCAATCAATCATCAGACTCAATCACTCACTCACTAGACTCACTTACTAATTAGACTCAATTGACTTACTAGACTCACTCACTCATTACACTCATTAGATTCACTAGACTCATTCATTAGACTCACACACTCATTAGACTCACTTGCTCATTAGACTCGCTCACTTATGATACTCTCACTCATTAGACTCACTCGTTAAGATCATCACTCCCTCATTAGACTCACTCACTCACTAGACTCATTAGACTCACTCATTACACTCACTCATTAGACTCACTCACTCATTAGACTCACTCACTCACTCATTAGACTCACTCACTCATTAGACTCACTCACTCATTAGACTCACTCACGCATTAGACCATCACTCACTCATTAGACTCACTCACGCATTAGACCATCACTCACTCCTTAGACTCACTCATTTGACTCACTCACTCATTGGACTCACTCACTCATTGGACTCACTCACTCATTGGACTCACTCAATCATTAGACTCACTCACTCATTGGACTCACTCACTCATTAGACTCACTCATTAGACCATCACTCACTCATTAGACCTTCACTCACTCATTAGACTCATTCATTAGACTCACTCACTCATTAGACAAATTCATTAGACTCACTCATTAGACTCACTCACTCATTAGACCACTCATTAGACTCACTCACTCATTAGACTCACTCACTCATTTGACTCACTCACTCATTAGACTCACTCACTCATTAGACTCACTTACTCATTAGACTCACTTACTCATTAGACTCACTCAGTCAGTAGACACACTCACTCATTAGACTCGCTCACTCATTAGACTCACTTACTCATTGGACTCACTTTGTCATTAGACTCACTCACTCATTAGACTCACTCACTCATTAGACTCACTCACTTATTAGACTCACTCACTCATTAGACTCACTTACTCACTCATTAGACTTTCTCATTAGACTCACTCATTACACTCAATCAATCATCAGACTCAATCACTCACTCACTAGACTCACTTACTAATTAGACTCAATTGACTTACTAGACTCACTCACTCATTACACTCATTAGATTCACTAGACTCATTCATTAGACTCACACACTCATTAGACTCACTTGCTCATTAGACTCGCTCACTCATTACACTCTCACTCATTAGACTCACTCGTTAAGACCATCACTCCCTCATTAGACTCACTCACTCACTAGACTCATTAGATTCACTCATTACACTCACTCATTAGACTCACTCACTCATTACACTCACTCACTCATTAGACTCACTCACTCATTAGACCATCACTCACTTATTAGACTCACTCACTCATTAGACTCACTCACTCATTAGACTCACTCACTCACTAGACTCACTCATTAGACTCACTCATTAGACTCACTCACTCACTCATTAGACTCAGTTACTAATTAGACTCACTCATTAGACTCGTTCACTCATTAGACTCACACATTAGACCATCACTCACTCATTAGACTCACTCACGCATTAGACCATCACTCACTCCTTAGACTCACTCATTAGACTCACTCACTCATTGGACTCACTCACTCATTGGACTCACTCACTCATTGGACTCACTCACTCATTAGACTCACTCACTCATTGGTCTCACTCATAAGACTCACTCATTCATTAGACTCACTCACTCATTGGACTCACTCACTCATTGGACTCACTCAATCATTAGACTCACTCAATCATTGGACTCACTCATTAGACTCACTCATTAGACCATCACTCACTCATTAGACCTTCACTCACTCATTAGACTCATTCATTAGACTCACTCACTCATTAGACAAATTCATTAGACTCACTCATTAGACTCACTCACTCATTAGACCATCACTCATTAGACTCACTCACTCATTAGACTCACTCACTCATTTGACTCACTCACTCATTAGACTCACTCACTCATTAGACTCACTCATTAGACTCACTCATTAGACTCACTCAGTCAGTAGACTCACTCACTCATTAGACTCGCTCACTCATTAGACTCACTTACTCATTGGACTCACTTTGTCATTAGACTCACTCACTCATTAGACTCACTCACTCATTAGACTCACTCACTTATTAGACTCACTCACTCATTAGACTCACTTACTCACTCATTAGACTTACTCATTAGACTCACTCA